TTTGGCTGAATCCCCAACCACATCTGATAATTCCAAAGCATTAGTACCTCTAAAGTCTGTGATTGATACTCTACCTCTGGCCGTGGCCTATCTCCTTTATATGGTACATTTTCATTTATTCATATTTTTTTTTGCTAAAACATTGCTTCTAAATTCCATATGGTACATTTTCATTTATTCATAGGTTTTTTTTGCTAAAACTTTGCTTCTAAATTCCAATCTTAAATGAACACAAAACTTTTGTCTTATCTGGTTATCCTTGAAAGCTAGTCACCATGGAGTCTGTTAGGGGAGTAAATGTACCAATGTATACTACTCTCAGGAGGACAACCGTTGTTTTTACTATGATGGTGGAGTATATTCTTGCAAAGCAGAGGTATACGCGTGCTATTGTTGGAAGGTATGATGCTATGGTTATCTTTTACTCGGACTAGATATTATTTTGTTACCTATAATATGCAGCTTTGGGAATGGCTAATAACAATGTACTCCCTCCGTCCCACAAAATATATCCTCTCCCTTTTTATCCACCTGAAAGCTCTTCCTCTTTGAATTAAACTCAACTATTTACCCCTATTAAATTCACTTACATGTTACATCATACGGTTCATACCTATTCATTATTATTTACGGAGTACTACGTATTAATGAGGAAATTCCATAAATGGTCCCTTATAATAGGTGATTTTCCATATTTAGTCCCTAATTCTAAGATGGTACATTTGTAGTCCTCACTTTTTGAAAATAATTCCATAATTAGTCGTTTAGCCCAAATATGATCAAATATGTTTTTTCCACATATAGTACCAAAAGGACTGATTATGAAATAGATTTCAAAATTTGAGGTCGGCGAATGTAATATCTTAGAATCGGGGGCTAAATAGGGAAAACCACTTGTTACTAGGGACCATTTTTGGAATTTACTCTTTATTAATCTACCCATCACATTCTATTCTACCTTGCCATAAAGCAAGAGCAAAATGAGAAAGTAACACCCAAATTACACTTGCCTTAAATACCATGAAAGTCAAATGTGGAAATTACGCTTACCTTAAATGGGAAAGCAATGGGTCGATAAAACTTGTAAATTAAAAGTATGTGTGGATACAATCAAATATGTGCTATCTTTAATATGATAGAGGTAATGTCTTTTAGCATAACCTTCACTTTCTAATATATCAATTTAACAAATGATTGTTTCAGCGTTGCATTGATTGTGTTCGGTGCATTTGTCGCGGGAGCTCGGGACTTATCGTTTGATTTGTATGGTTATTTTGTTGTTTTCTTAGCCAATATCACAACTGCTATATACCTCGCAACCATAGCTCGAATAGGTAAAATAGAAAAAAAAACATTCATTTGCTACCTTTCCTGGCAACTTTATTGTTTGTTATTGCTGATACTTTTTTTATCAACCAGGAAAATCAAGCGGTCTTAATAGCTTTGGTCTTATGTGGTGCAATGGTATTGCCCTCTTGTTCTAGAATTCGACCAGCATTTTTGTTACACTCTTTAGCTCTTCACCAAACTTCATTTTGATAGATTGAAAATATAGTTAATTAGCATTAAATTGGGCTTAATTCATTTCATAAAGATCTTCAACACGTGAGGTTTACCCCACACTTAACTTATATACTACACTCAAATCTAGTACACAACCGATGCGAGATATACTCAACAGTCAACATAATCCCCTCAGCGCTTTCCAGGCTGACCGACTGAATGAGTGCACAAATGGGCCGAAACAGACCCTATGTGGGCGGCCCCGCAAGGTTACCAACCACCATTTGACCTGTTTTGACATATGTTAATTTTGGTCTAACTCGCACCCATGGGATTCTCAAGAGGTGTTTATCAACAAAAAAATATCAAGAGGTGAGGTACTTCACATCTTTTAATAGAACTAGACTCAAGCCTAGTAGTCACATACATGGTAGGGAATGCAGGTTACTCAACAATCATTGTTAGATGTGATTTCTTTTTCTTTTTTTCTACTGCAGGGATTGTTTGTGGCCCATTCTTACTTGTTTGGACACTTGTTAAAGGTGATCTGGGAGCAACATTTAATTTTCCATCTTTACTTTCACCCGGTTTTCTGGTAAGTTTCAATGTCCTACTCAAGCACATGACAAATGTAATATGAGTTGATACTTGCTGCAGTCATTTCAAGTGTACATTGAACTCGTGTAGCCTATCTATGTATGGTACAACAACAACAACCCAATATAATCGCAACTTCGTTGGGGTTTGGGGAGTCAATATGTACACAGCCTTACCCTTGTAAAACAGATAGGCTGTTTCCATAAGACCCTAGATGCATTGTTGCATTTACGGTCCAAAACTTCTTAGAAAGTTTGAAGTAAAGGAAGTTTAATGTGCCATTATGATTTAGTTCAGTATGTGCCCAAAACTAAAACATTGTTAATATTAACTCTTTTAGCTCCATTGGCAATGTGTGTATAATCTATGCATTCCAGATCAGACTGCATTAAGAAAGAGACTAGTTATGCTCTCATATTGACCGTTGCTGCATTCTCTGAAAAGCTGTGATGAATGGAATCTAGAAATGAGGAACTGGGAAAGACATGTAGTTTTAAAAAGAAAGGAGGTGTGTTTGGAAGGTTATTACGAGTATATGATAAGTGCACTAGATAATCAAAAACAAAAGCACTTGTCTCATAGTTTTAAAATACATCAATAATACAGTACATTACTACCATTTCATAAATGCATATACCACAAACTTTGGAGATCTTGGAAATATGAGAGAGAATTATATAAATTGTAGAAACGGCACCAGAGGATTCCGAAAAGTTTCCAGGAGCTCCAGTTTCCTAAACAAGGAAACACTGTTCCAAGAAGTTTCCGTGTATCATAGCCCGAAACTGTGATCGTGTCATAATACCTTTTTTCACACCTAAAATACTGATGTTATCAATGCCATGATAAAAATCCATTGAGGGTCATGTTCTTTAACCCCTAACTTTTTTTCCCCGTTCTTTGTCATTCTTGTTTGTGCATAGAGAAGCATGTCGTGTCTTTTACTTAATGATAAGGTAGTCATTACTGTGCAGGTTGTATTGCTCTTCTCTTGCATTTTGGCTTTCTTCTTGAATTACAGTATATTTCTGAACACAACTCTGAACTCCGCAGTTACACAGACAATCTGTGGGAACATGAAGGTTTGTTTACCGACATCTATATGCTATACATTGTAAAATCCATCCGATGACTCAAACCCGCCCAGTCCATCCATAGCAACACAACTAATGACCTTTCAAATATTCTGCTTATGTGTAGGATCTTTTCACCATTTCACTTGGATGGATGGTCTTTGGAGGGCTTCCATTTGATTTGGTGAGAACAGTATCAGAATTACTATAAATTTTATTACTATTATTGTTTTGTTTGGATGAATTACATTTGAAGGTATAGATGAAACTCATGAAAGATTGAAAAAGTTCATTCCACTTTTTTTTTCCAGTTGAATGTTATTGGGCAGCTTCTTGGTTTCATTGGATCCGGCCTATACGCATACTATAAGCTTATGGGAAAATGATTTGCTCAATTCTTAAGGGCGGATTTCTCCGGGGAGGAGATAAATTTGCAGCATTTTTTTGAATTGCTGATTTAGGCTCTCTGCTGAAAGGGGGAGTGGAGTGAAATTTCATACAGGAAGCCATTATTCTTTTTGGAAGGATGAGGAGCTGCTGTTTCTTGTGTGCAGTACTGTAATGTAATTTAAGGCTGTGTAGGCATTTGTATCTAACTGCAGCAATTCCTATATGAATCCATTACTTACTACCCTTCTTTACTCCTCATTTCTTTACACCCAAAAAATAGTGTAAGGGAGAGTTTGTCTTACATAAAAAGAGTAATGATAAGGGCACAACCGTAATCAACCAGTGTCTCACTCACATGAAGTGCGAGTCTTGTTATAGGTTTTTGTGGGTTCACACTGCATGCGAGTGAGGTTGTGATTGGTCGTGAGATAAGGTGTGTTTCCATCGTTTCTCTTTTGACACAACAAGTTATGTAACGACCCACACCCCACAATTTTTGTTTCCCCTTCAAATGAACATGTGCAAGCACACATTCATAGAGTAACATACAAAATTGCGTCTATGAAGTGTGGTTATTTGTATGTTTTAATAAAGAGAAAAAGAAAGTTAAGGTCAATCTATAAGACCTGTTTTTGAACAAAAGTAGACGTAAATTATATGCAAACATAAGTTGTGTTTGACACTAACTTTGGCGCTTTGAGTATTGTTACTTGTACTCCAAATTGTAGTGTTTTATAGTTAATCTCGAAGACATTCGTGGAGAGTCATAATTAACTCACCTTTCATCATCTACTTCAAATTCTGAATTTGTGAAAAAGTCCACCATACATTTTAGGCACACGTAAACTTATTTGCACAAATTAAGTATAACGCAAAAATAATTCAAGTAAAAAGGATGAGTCTCATTTCCTAAGTCCCCGTCTAAACGGTCAGACAGTTATTTGAGAGAAGATAAATTGAACTATAATCACAAATTTACTGGCAAATGATTAAGCATGAACATGGTACTCGTAGAAGCTATATGCTCAGCATAGTTATCTCTTAACGTAGTTATCAGGAATCGAATTCGAGATTACTTTTGGACATCTTTGCTTAACCAGCTGAGTTACGCCGACCGACAAAAATAATTCAAATAAATGTTAAAGACAACCTTTTTCATATCTTGGAATATCTAGGGAAAAAATGTTGCCAAAATTTCCATCAAAGTTGAGTTCTTGCAATTTGTGAATAAAAACAACAATTACTTGCCCCCTCTTTTCCCACCAAAAATAACTGTCGTCTCGCCCATTCCCTCCAACCCCGAAACGAAATCCCCCCTAAAAACAGAGAAATTGTGGAGAAGAAGAGGCGGAGAAGAAGGAAAAGGAATCGTTCCCTTCTCTTTCTCTCTCCCCCCAATTCATTCAATGCGCTAACCCTAACCCTTGAATTCGAAGCCATTTCCTATTTCAATTTTTTCTTCCGTTCTGTTGTGTTCTCTCGAACTGCGACTATTGTGTCCGGATAGCTATGCAGGCGTACGATGAAAGCGGCAATAGCACCCCCATGGTCACCTTCCAGCGGAACGGGTCGTTGTCGTGTCCGGTTCAGTTCCTGTGCCATGAAAACTCGAACAGTTTCTCGTACACCATGATTCCCCCGCGGCCGCTCAAGCTCACCGTTCTCAAATTGGACGGATCTTCTTTCGGTACTCGTCGAATTTGATCTGTGTTTTCTTCAATCGATCGATTTGTGGATGAATGTGAGATTGGCTTGTCTGTGGATAATTGATGTTGCTTCTTATGTTTTTTTTTTTTTTTTGAATTTGTGATTCTGGGGATAGAGATTGAAGTACCTAGGAATGGGACGGTGGCGGATCTGAAGAAGGCAGTGGAGGCCTCTTTTAGTCATTTACCTTGCAAGGTATCATGGTATGTATATAAGGGTCTCAATTAAGCATTGTGTTACCAGCTCATTTGCCATGAATTTGATTGGTTATTGGCATTGTGTTACTAGCTCAATTAGGGATGATTGTCTATCCCTTTTGGTGAAATTACTTGAATTTGTTAGGTTAAGGTTGGATATTGCTAACATGGATTAGGGCAAATTGTCTACCCCTATTGGTGAAATTTCTTTAATTTGATTTGGTTAATGACTCGATTTGCTTACATCGATTACGACACATTGTTTATCCATGTTGGTGAGATTGTTTGGATTTGATTTGGTTAATGGCTGGGCATTGCTTACATTGATCAGAACACATCTATCCCAGTTGGTGAAATTTCTTGAATCTTGGCAGAATAATGTTAACATTGATTATCCATGTTGGTGAAATTTCCTGAATTTCATTGGTTATTGGAGTGGTAGTAGGTAGTAACATCTGTTAGGGGTTTATGGCACTTTAATAAGAGAGTTATTTGATTCCTGACCCCTAAGTTCTTCCATACGTTCATTCCACTATATTTTTGTATTAGAAATCTAAGTTTAAACTTTAAAGCAATATGTAAAACAAAAAAAAAAACTTTAAAGCAATGTGTTTTGATCTTGCAGGCGACATGTTTGGGGACATTTCTGCTTGAGCCATGATTATGAGAAGCTATTATGTGACACCGATCACATAGGACTTCATGGAATTAGGGACGGTGATCAGGTTTGTTTTCAATCCACGGCTCCATATCTCATATTTTGAGTTTTTAGTTGAAACTGTTTATTTCCTGTTCTAGAAGACTAGAAGACAAATCTTATAGTACATAGTTTCTGTTGGTACAATTTTGACTATCTATTTTATGTTTCCATTCAGCTTGAATTTGTGCGACATGTCTCAGTTTCCTACTTGGGAAAGCAACAAGAAAGAGAGGACCTTGAAGCCTGTCTGTAAGTCCCCTTTACCTTGCATTGCACGGAGTATTATATAACTTGTGCACCGTTTGTTTACAGAGAGTGCTTGCCTGATTTTTTAAAACATTCATGTGGTTACATAGGGAAACATTTTCTTTGGGGAAAAAAGTCAAATGTTTGTTTGCACCAAGAAAGCATTATTATCAGACATGAAACAACTTATTTTTTTCAGAAGATTCTATACATCAAGTTTGTTATTTTCCTTGAAACAAATGGTATCTAGGCCTTTGAGCATGATGGGAATGAAGCAGGATTGTATGTTATGCACTTCTAATAGATTTCAAAATGGTGCCTTGGCCTTTTAAACAGGCAAAATGCATAGAAGATGAAAACAATCATGTGGGGGACACTAGAATACCATAGAGTGGACTTTTATGATAATCTCGAAGATGAAGAAGATGATTTTGTTTAATTGATTCATCACTTTGCTCAGAAAGTGGTTCGTTTACCGCAGGTTGCTCGATAACTGCGAGAAGAGATTGCAAAGGAAAGGTAGTATCTCAAGATTCTTCTTAGGCAACTCTAGAAATGCCCAATCTCTGGACCGATACAGATACGGTTCACAAAAGATGGTTGCGTGTGATTTTGAAACTCAAAGCTTGTAACGATGAAATCCTATGAAATATCAGATGGAAACTACACACATTTAATTGAATAAAATGGATCTGTTGCTGCACATGATGCTGCTGCTGCATTTATGGTGATTTTTATAGCAAAGATAGATTTGTTGTTGAGGATGATGATATATGAACCTTTCCCCATTTTGTGCACTCAAGAGGTTTCATGTGTTAAGAGAGTGAGCCCATGACCATTGCTAGGCAAAGCACCCCAAAAGTATTTTGCTTGATGTAATTATACCCATTCATACTTTAAATGAGCTCAACTCCTTTGTTTGCTCATCCCTATGAAAACCCCTAGTAGAGAAACCACTTCTCTCTTTATAGATTTTTTTATTTTAAAAGTGTCCTATCATAAAAAAATACAAAAATTAAAACATAGGATTACAGGGTACTCCGTATCATTTATTTTGTCCCACATTAATATTAATGTTGAAACTTGTACTACATTTAACTATTGAAAGTCATCATCTAATTGTTTCATTTGCTACTCCATATTAGTTAAGGATAATAGTTTCAACTTGCACCCACAATTTCTACATGGCAATGGTAGAAATTTGAGTAATTCTAAAGTAGATTTTACAAATATTATGTGACTTATTACGTTCCATCATCTCCGATAGGGCCAAGAATTCACTATTTTTTTTGCTTTGGGGTGTGATGGAATAAAGTAAAATGGATATCTAAATTATCTGCAGTTCTTTAATTAATAAAGTAACAGTTAGTAAATCAATGCAACTTTCGACATTGAGTCAGGGATATATTTAGAAATAACTTCTCTACTCTTGTAGAATCCAACTGGTTGTTGTTGTTTGTTATGTGACTTATTAAAAAGTTAACAAATTAACATTTTTGGAGAACAAAAGCCTTATTCCTTTCACCTTTTTGATATAAAAGTAGTTTTTTAGAATTTATTCTAGTTATTAGACTAGGATATCAAGTTTTTTAGATACTAATCAAAGTCTTATTTTTTATTTCTTTTAAACTTTTTAATTTACAAATACTTTTAAATGATATCTTTACAAAAGACTATCTAAGGAATAATTTTCTATTATAAAATACCTATTATTAGAATTTATTGGGAATGATTTTAAAAAAACACCTTCTTAAAAATGATTATTCTAAGAATTTACTCATTTTAAACAATTTTTTTTCACGTTCTTTTATTCCCCCACCCCCCCCTACCACTCCCTCATTATTTTGTGTGGTATAGAAAGGGATAAGCCTTTCTTTGTTTTCTATCCCCTTCTTCTCCAATCAAATTTATCCATTTTCACTTCTGCAACAAACTCAAAGTTGAAGAAGGGAGAAGAAGAAGAAGCAGAGCAGCCATGGCTATGGCCAACATGATCATGGCTTCCTTCAAAGCCCTCATGCCTCCTCCCACTCTCCTCCCCACCCCAAGAACCAAAGTTTCTTCTCTGTTTCCCAAATTGCCCTTCCCCCAATTCCCAAAACCCATCAAAAATCTGAAGTCCCTACCCCTGATCCTCGCGACCGCTCTCGCCGCCGCGCCGCCTCCGGCTATGGCGGAGGAGATGCAGAAGGCGTCGCTCTTCGACTTCAACCTCACGCTCCCGATCATGATGGTCCAGTTCCTGCTCCTCATGGTCGCCCTCGACAAGATCTACTACTCCCCGCTCGGGAAATTCATGGACGAGAGGGACGCCGCGATCAAGGACAAGCTGAACAGAGCGAAGGAGATGTCGGAGGAGGCGCGGCGGCTGGACGAGCAGGCGGCGGCGGTGATGAGCGCGGCGCGCGAGGAGATCGCGGCGGCGCTGCGCCAGAAGAGGACGGAGACGCAGGCGGAGATGGAGAAGAGGCTGGAGGAGGGGCGGGCGAAGGTGGAGGCTGAGCTGGCGGCGGCGCTGGAGCAGCTTGAGGTGCAGAAGATGGAGACGATGAAGCAGCTCGAATCTCAGATTTCTTCGCTTAGCGATGAGATTGTCAAGAAGGTCCTCCCCGCTTAATTAATTAATTAATTAATTAATTAGTGTTACTCTTTGTGGCTAAGAATTTCTATATCACACATTCGGATGTAGGAAGTTTATTGTTGTAGCATATGAACATTTACAAATTAAAGAATATTTGCACATTTATTTCTTCGCATATAATTCGAAAATGCATATTATGAAATTAATATAATCACAATTTTGAAAATCTCTCGTAGCTCAAATGATTGTTCGCATGTGGCGAAGGCGATCGAGAAGAGTTTTTCATCTTCATCCTACTTAGGAACTCTAATTTTGGAGCGTATTTTTCGAAGCAGTAATGTTGCTCATACTTTGGCTAGACGAGAAGTTGTTCAACCTCGTTGATTTTTTTTTTTTTTTCACAATGTAAATTTTGTTGCTAAAAGAGAGTATTAATACATATATTTTGTTAATTTTGTTGATAAAAGAGAGTATTAATGCATGATTTCATAAAAGAAATTAAAGCATGTGGTTATTACAACCAAGACATTTGATGATTGATACTCCCTATTTGGGATTAGAAGTGTCAAAAACTTTTCTTTTGAACCCCAAAGGTTGGCTAGTTTACAAAAAAAACTTGTCCAACAATCACTTCTAATTCTCAACTAAAAAACTTCTCTCCATCCTCCAATAAATTTCACACTTTAGTTTTTCATTTGTCGCAAAATAAATTTCTCACTTCTTTCGACTTTTTAAGAAGACATGTGCATCTTATACGAGTATATTTTGTAAAAAAATAAATAAAAAAGAAATGCAAATTTTATTAGAGGAGTATTTTTCTAGTTCAAAATAGAAAGATGATTGTGCTAGGTTTAACAACAATGAAGGGTGACAAAGAGGGATCTACACCCAAACATTTGACACAACAAGCTAACACAAACATCAAAATATAAGGATACAAAAACATGCAATGGCATTCTCAAATCCTATGGCAATTTTGTTCATTATTTGTTGGCTTTAGTAAGTATTCATGCAAGTCTCACTTGTCTATAAATTGGTAAAGACCAACCAAATGACCAAAATCACAAACCAATGTCTGAATCTGTCCCTGCAAAGATTGGTGTTTGTGATATCTGATATGGGAATGAAATCATTATACATATGAAAAGAAGAATCAATTTACTTCTGTTGGATCTGTACATGTAAATGATGCTAACAACAAAGCCGTCAAGACGGATCTCAAGGGCAACATAGTAATAACCACCAAAACATCCTCTATTTATATGAGAAAATTGTACAACATCTGCAGAGCCTCTTAGTCATCTATTTCATCCTTTTTTACAACATTTTCACCATGGGGATCCTCAGTTTCATTTTCACTATGAGAAGAAGACACTTTTGTTTCTACAGCACGCCTAACCACAGAATTTACCTGCTTTCTCAATTTACCATTATTCACAAATACGTTTCTTAGCATCTCCCTCATCTTCTTCTCTAGTACCTCCATCATGTCATTATCGACACTATTTTTAGTATCGTCAGAAGAATCTGAGTTGGTTTCTTTGTCTAAGCGTTGCGCCTGGAAAAAGAAGTAGGATTACAAGAATCTCTTAGGGCCTTGGTGAGCGAAGCAGAATTGATGCGATATGAGTTCTAAAATCCGGAAGAAATGATATGCATTCTGAAATATGAAATGAAAGTGTTTGGAGAGATAACACCTATTGAAAAATGGCCCCACTTAATCCTTGGAGTCAAGGTAACATCTTCATACACCTTGCTCCCACATGAGAGGTGGGATACATAGGGATTGTATGGTGTTTGGATTGATTTGGTTTGGTATCTTTGGGCTCATTACTAGGTTTATTGTTGTTGTAGTTAGGTAAATAAAGTCCAACAAAACAATAAAAAAATGAAAAAGAAACTTCGAGAAGTACCTCGGATAGCAGTAGGTTGATTTGATTGTCGGAAGCGGAGAGCAGATCCTTGGCATCTGGCAGTGAGTGGAATTTTTTGACAAGGTCATCTACATTTTCAACTGAGTCTATTTTGCACCCTTCGTAGTGCTGTTGAAGAATTTCACAGTCATACAGAAGTTTCTTCCAACTGGTTTTGCATTGCTCCCTAATTTGCCTTTCCTGTGTATACTGCCTCTGAAAATCCATGCAAAGTTTGAAGAACACAAAATATATAACTACTCACTTCGGACCTTAAAAAATGACTCTGTTCATATTTATCTCTCTTGGTTGACCGATGTCCATTGTTCCTTTTTATCTGTGCATTTATGAAATTTATACACATCAAATAGTGTTTTACACTTTTACCATTTCAAATTTTCCCAAGAGGAACGTGAATGGGAGGTGGCCTTTAATGAGGTCATTTGAGGTAAATTATTGAAATTGTGATTAGTATATAAAATTCTAGGAATTTTTCTCAAATGTGCGATTTGATCAAACTAGGCATATAAATAAGAATGGAGAGATTATGATGTTCCAATTTTACCCTGGTAAATGAATACTTAAAACAAAAAAAGCTTAAGACCCTGCGAAAAGTGACAACTAGTATTGATGTGACTAAGCAATTGCCAAGAGGAAAACAATTCTTTAAGGCATATTTGAGAAACAACTAACTAGTTGCTAAGGAAAGAACATGCACTATTAATTCTAAACAAAAAGACCACCAAATTGTTTCCAGCAAAGGGCATCTCCACTGCATGAATGCAAGACTAACTGCAGGAAAATAGGCTGTGGAAATTGGAAAATGTTTTCCTGGAAAATAAGGCGCGCTTTGCATAATATAATGTTTAACCCACAAAAATATAAAAAATAAATTGCGCTAGGAAAACGATTTTCATGCTTTTGGGTTCCAAAAATATAAAATTCAGAAGGAAAGCCTTTACCAGGAAACAAACAGAGCCTAGGATGTACCTCAATTTCAGCTTTCTCCTTGGATGACTCTTTAAGCTGCAACTTCAATTCTGACTGAGAGCTTCGAAGAGTTTTAACTTCTTTAATGAGAACTTTAATGTCTGATTTTGACTTTACTTCCATCTCTTGATGCCGTTTCAATAGCTCCTCAAATTGCAGTTTTGTGGCTCTCAACTCCTGTTGGAGTGCATCTTTTTCCTGATTGGGATTGATTTTTGTGGAATCTTTATTTCTTTCATCCTGGTGAATTTTGATAATTAGAATGTGTAATGAATCATTCAAGAATGAAGGAAAAACAAGATGGATCACAACCTGTTGCAAATTTAGTTTAAGCTCCATCTCCATTGCCTTCTGCCGAAGATCTTCCATGTCCCACTGCATCTGAGTAACTCTTTCCCTCTCAATCGATATTGCCTGCTCAAGGTTCTCTTTGTTTTTTTCTTTAGTTGCTTCAAGCTCCACTTCCAGATCTTTGACCTGTATACATTTAATGGGAATGGTTTCAAAAAATTAATTTTTTGTTTTTGCTTTTGTGTGATAAGCAATCATTTAAGTGTGCAGTGTTTGTAGTTAAGTATGATTTAGTGCTCAAATGCTTTTGAGTGTTTGCAAACCAAAACATCTGAAGTGATTATTGTGTCATTGTGTGAGTAAAAGACCCCATTGTCCATAAATAGGAGAAGAGAAAAATGTTAATTGGGACAACATGTAAAGTTGTTTAAAATAAGCAAGCACTTTTTACGTATGGCTCAAAAAAGTAAGTATTTAAACACCTTTTAACTTTACCAAACATTAAAATTCTGAAAAATGCTTAAATAAGCCAAAAGTAAAAAATTAAGTGCTTGCAAACACATCCTACATGCTGGGGAGGAGATAAGACTAGGAAGGCAGTCCTGGGTCCAACAAGCCCTAAAATACCTTAGTGTCTAAATGTGATACCAAACACTGGTGTCACGAGAATCGTGGAAATATATGTTTTATACACACGTAGTATCTTTGGATGATTCTCAAGTTCACTGCCATCTGCTCTATATCGAAGGCATTGTTAATCGGCGAGTACTAGTAATACCCACATAGTATTTATTAAATCAATTCCTGATCAAAATTTCACATTGAATTTCTTTATGGTGAAACATTTAGGGTCCATTCAAAACCCGGAAATGTTAGGGGAGAAAGTAGTGAAAACAACATAGGTGAAACATTGAATGGAAAGACAATTTAGAGAAAAATAAACAAATAAATTCAAAAGCGTGAATTAATGTTAGGTCTTTTTGTTCATTTTTTTTTACATATTTTGCAAAATATTCAAACATCTTAAAAGAAATAATCAAATTCGATCTTTTGGTTGCATTTCCCAAAGTAAAACCAAATATTGAAAAAAAAAACAATTTTCCTTGATATTTTTCCCTTTCACTGCCATTTTCCACATTAAAGACAATCTGACTTCAACAAAGTGTTTCACTCTATTTGTGTCACCGAACGTTAAGACAATGAGTTAATGAGCAGAAAACATGTTGATTAATAGGAAGCATTCAGCTTATGTCAAATTCACCACCATACCTTGGTTGTGAGGTAATCTTTCACAGCAATCTCCTGGTTTAACCTTGAAATAAGATCCTCCATGTCAGTTTTTGCCGTACCCAATCTACGCTGCATATTGGCAAGAATCCTATGCATTTTATGACGCTGATCTGAAGGAAGGAGCAACTGTATTTGGTCAGGAAGTGTCAATTCTTTCCTGAGAGCTTCTATGTTTCCAAATGAATTGGGAAATGTCGAGTTAGACGTTTCGCCCTCTCGCTGAGAATTGATATCGCTTCCAACACTCTCACCAGACAACTTTGTGGCATGATGAATTGTTTGACTATCACTTGAATTATGTGAAGACTTTGACGCATTTCCACTGCTCATACTCTCATCTATAACATTATTATTAATCTCTTTTGTGTGGATCTTATTCTTAGGAAAATTTCCAAGTTGGTCTAAAATAGCGTGTCCCATGAATAATCCCTCATCAATGTTGGACATCCCATACTTCATAAACATATCTATTGGACTCGTTGAATCCTCATCTAGTGAGAGATCTTCAGTCCCCAGCTCAGATGCCTCATAAGCAGTGTCACTACCATAATCAGATGCATGCGATGAACTGCCAGTTATTGTAGAGAAGCCTACACCAGGATTAGTTTCAAGAAAGGTGTGTGTGTTATTTACAGGTCTTGATTCAGACGTCTGCTGTAGTTGTTCATCTTTAAACGCTGAAACAATTGTGACAATAATTTCAGTAGGGAAGCAGGGGGGCAAATTAACACTAAAACAGAGTTGAAAGGAAATTCTGACATTGAAAAGTATACAATATTCAAATGACAGTATAATGCATACAAGATCTAGCAGCTGCTTCAAGTTCAAGAAAGGATGCTGAGGCCACACATCTTGAAATATCAATATCAGATAGTAGTTTTGTCATCCATTCCTCCAAAGAAGACCGTCTCTGCACAATGAAGCCATTCAAAATGATTTAAAGAATTTTCAAGGAATTATTGTTTACGTAACGCCAGCAATATCATAAAATTGAACAGAATGTGGCAGTAATTAAAATATTCGTAAAATAAAGACAATATTATACTGAGCTACATGGAAATACTATAGTATTTTTGAATACCCAACAACTCTATGTATATGGACAGAATTGACATGTTCAGCCGCACAAAGGAGGAATGTACACAAAGTTGAATAAGTTGTTATATAAATAGTACACTTACAAGAGTAGCTAAAAACGAACAATTGATGAAAGGAGATAAGCACTACATAAATGTAATCTTGGTTTAAGTTGAGTAGTCAGATATTGAAAAAGTTGATCATTTAGAGAAAAATGAAAATGTTTTACTTGTATGATAATTGTTTGCAACCCCCTACTCTTAAGGAATATTCCAAAAAAGTGCATGTTAAAATGTAAATCATGGAAAGGGGAGCAGTCAGCTACATATAAACTGTTAAAAAAACCATATACATTAATCATTAGATGATAAAAGATTTACTAGTAATAAAAGTCATACAAAACACATACACTGCGTATTGATCAATAGATAGGCTGGTTACCTCTTCCAATAAGATTTTGGTTTTCAAACGCATGAATCCCTTTGGTGGGGCTGGAGGGAGATTTTTCTTGGGAAATATTCTTTTTAGCTGTTAAAGAAAATTGTTATCAAATATCATGCTGTTGATCATACCATATCAGACATATTCAAAATCTACATTACGAAATGAAAACTATATACTTACTGCAGAATGAAATTTCAAGAAATCATTAAATCTTCTAAGTACAACACGAGTAGTAGTAATCCCATCGGGCGATTGTATGCCAACCAGAACCCTGTAAAACTGCCCTTTAAGAGTGTTAAGATTAATCAACAACTAGCAGCCTCTAGATGCCATCAAAGCTCAAGAATTCAAAACAAGTGAATCTTTTTATCTGTGAACAAATCCAAATTCTCTCATGGATAGAGAAAGAATTAAGTCCTATTACAATCCAAGTTATTATAGCAATGTAAGTATAAAAATATTATTGTATTGAACACATTTAAATACCACTACAGGATCTGAATCTTTTGATTTTGCAAGAACAACCCAAGATGGAATTGTGACACAATAACTCCACCCTGTTTGAGGATCATGGGGCCATATAGTTTCCTGTCCTGCCTGGAAATCAAAAAAAATGAATATTAGGTAAGAAATTTGCATGGATCTCAATGATATAAATGCCCCCCACCCACTACTATCAAGAAGTTAGACTAACAAAGATGGGGCAAATAAAACACATTTACCATTTGGAAAAGCATAAAACAAGTTTTCTCTCAATCTCAAGGTATAAGCCTCTACAAGTTATGAATGGCAACTTATACTCCCAATGCTTAATTTAGAACTATTAGGAGTAATGCATTAAAACCACTTGTCCCTTGGCTTTACAAGGATTTTACTTAAAAAGGAAGTTAACCTTTAAAACTGGACACTTTTTTGGGAATTAAGAAACAAAAAAAATATTAAGCGTCTTCTTATTGTTCTTTTTTTCCAAGTCTTTAGTATCTCCTTAGATGAACATCAATACCTAACACTATCTGTTAGAATATAAATAACTCATCCTCTCATCCTGGGCCACAACCAAAAGCTCAAGCTTGTGGTTGTGGCCCAGGATGAGTTATTTATATTCTAACACGCCCCCTCACGTGCAGGCGTAGTCTTTTTCGAGCCTGGCACGTGAAACTTTAATTTTCTTAAAACTGGGTGGCGCTGAGTTTCGAACCCGTGACCTCTTAGTCAACAAGGCTCCGATACCATGTCAAGGAACCAACTCAACCAAAAGCTCAAACTTGTAGTTGTGGCCCAGGATGAGTTATTTATATTCTAACACTATCAACAGCAATTTTGATGTTTTTGTCCTAAAATTAATAACTCCAAACACCAAAGAGTAGATTGGAAACTCAGTTATACTAATTTCTCTAACATCACCTGCAAACTGTTTCTTTTACATTCAAAATTCACCTCTGATCCTCCTCGTGTAGAATTTCAAAGTAACGTCATTATGCCCAACAAGAACTGATGAAATTTCTTCTCTTAGCTCAAAACTAAGCTCATCGAGTTCAAATACAACAAAACACAACAGAAGTTAACATCAAAACAAACTAATCCGATTTTCAATCAGCTGACACTGAAAATTTCCCTCACTCCATTTTGAAAGAAAGCACTCCAGCTACGCTTCTGAATTCGAGTAATCCAGTAATGAAGATAGATATTCAAAAATGCAACTGTTTATCAAAAAGAAGAGACAGAAATGAAACTCACCCATCTTTTGGGCGGAGGGCTCCAATCCATTCCCAGCGGCAAAGGCGAAGTCCCATCGTGCCTATGCTTCGGCGGACTTTGCCTCTGCATCCCAACTCAACCTAAATCACACCGATCAACCGATTCACCTCTCCCTCACTGAACGGGTGAACGTACATGAATTTCAATATCTAATCCAATTCCATCCAAATTTCTACAAAAATGCGGCCAATTTCATATCCATTGGATCGCACGAAACTGAACGATTCACACTGGAGCTGAGGGAATTCAACGGTGGAGAAACGGAGCTAGGGTTTTCGTGATCTGATCAGGAGCAGGCAGGAGTAAGAATTAGGAAAATCGTGGGAAAATATGAGCAAAATTGAGACGGCGTATGATAACAAAAAGAGTGGGAAGTGGCTAAAAAGCGCCCTGTGCGCACTACCGACTACACGTCTCCTCCCCCCTTCTTGGCTTGAAGTTAGAGAGAAAGTGAGGGGCGCGTGTTCGTTACGATTAAAAAAAAGTTGTGCCGTACATAATAATTTATGCACTACGTTTTCGCCACTCAATATAAAATAAAGAAAAAATTGCTCAAAATAATTTCAATTTTAACTGATCTTTTAAAAATAATCAATAAAAATAAAACTTAAACTGGTAAGATATGAAAATAAATATATATGAAGTGGTGGTTTTAATATTTTACGCACTATACAAAGTCTTAATGTATTACTAATTTTTGTAAAAAATAAGTCGGCCGATAAAGTTGGAATGATTCTAGGTAACTTTTCCTAAAAAATAAGAAAAAGTGGTATATTAATACTTTGTATGGTGCGTAAAATGGGAAATTTTCCTATGTAGCACTATAATGTAGCTAAAATTACCTATCTAGCACTGCTATGACATTTTTTGCATCAATAGAAGTATCCAGTGTGGCATTATCTTTAAAACACTAATTCTATCTTTTTTTCTTCTTCTTAATTTCTAAGATTATATTGAATTGGGTTACCACGTTCCCTTTCCTTGCCACCACAGAGAATGACAATTGTATAAGTCTTAAAACTTTTGTTGTCAAACTTAAAAAACTTTTAATGTCACTCATATAAAGATATATTCCTATAATTTTATGATATGATTCCTGAATATATTATAAACCAAATAAATCTGAATGTACTATTTAATTTGTTTGTATCCATTCGACTTTTAATGTGTTAAAAGATTATTTAATAAAGGAGAAACTAGAAAGTAGACTTTACTATACACTAAAAATCAAGTTTATGTCCTCTCTGACCCACTTAATTCTTGACAGAGAAATTTTAATGTGTTTAAGAAGAAAAATAATGAAATAGTGACTAATGACCAACAAATAAAAGGAAAGGGTAATTTTAAAGTGAAAAGCATGGCTAGTTTTACTATAGATGTATATTTAAATCTGATGTGTTATAAAGTAAAAGAAGAACCATATTAGTTAAACATTACCTTGGGATTCTCAATTTAAATGATCAAACATCATTTTTGTCTTAGATATAATAATTATACAAATAAGTAAATAATTATACAAGGCGTGATATAACAATGTAATATACTCCCTCCGTCCCACTGTCTTTATCCACTTACCTTTTGGCACACCATCCAACGCACTTCTTTAATCCATTTTATCTTGTAATTTATATATTAAAAAATTATAGAAATTATATATTAATAATCTATATGTTAAGACAAATCAAACAAGATCACACATGACTATATTTAGGCTTATACATTGAGAGAATTTGATGAGTCAAAGTGCTTAGATGAACAATTCCAAAAGTCAAATGTGGACAAAGACAGTGGGACGGAGGTAGTATAATCAATCTAACATCTCCCTTAAGATGAGTTTGGATATAAAGAAGGAAGCTTGGACATAAAAGTGTGAAAATCATTAGGATGTCAAAGATTTCGTGAAAAATCTACAAGTTGCTACTCAAAAATAACATATATATTCCATCGTGACAAACCTATGAATGGAGTGAGAGTAACTTCTCACATATTTCATCTCCTTCTCAAAAATTGATTTTTGTAGCATTTAGCTCACTGATTATCATAATGAAGAACGAGAGGGGTGTGGCAACACGTAAATCAATCAAAATATATGAGAGTCACATTACCTTCGATTCTACGACTGATAGTGTTCGGTAGTCAACCTCCGGTGATGACTTGAAAACACGTGTCTACTTTTCAATCTTCAGGATACAAGATGATTTCCAAGATTGATAAGATAGACGATTGTCAAACAATTATTCTATGGATAATTAACCTAATCAGATTCAGAGTCACTGCGTAGACTTAGATCTCTCTTACTGAACACAACGCCATGTGTATATTGCCTTTGACATATAGCGCAAACATCACCATCTGACTGAAACAAATATTATTCTTTTGACAAACAAACTTATTTGTAATTTTTTTTTGGACATAATTTATTGCCATTGAATTTTTTTTAACCCGTCGTCTTTCAAAAAAATCACTCCACCACTTCTCACCTTTTAAAAAAATCTAAGGTCGTTTGCAAATTACACATCCCACTCCACCATTATCATTGTCTACGCCATGAGATTGATTACGAATTACAATCGCATTCTAAGTCCAGAGTCATTCTTGGGCATGAACCTCTTACAAAATGTTATCATTGCCTTGACCCTGATACAAATAGTGCTTATATCATTCATCATGTTTATTTTCATTAGTCTCACTTTCTTTAAAAAAAATTGTCTCAAGGACTCCATAGTAACCTCTCCACCGCCTCAATTTTCTTTTTCCTTTTTGGTGTGCTTTTTCTCTTTCTAAATATCATGTCCATGTCACAAATCCTCTAGATCTGTGTAACCTCTATGTGGTGTATTCTACCCAACACATGTGACCTGAAATTCCATGCTTGTTACTTACCCAACCCTAATTGCAGCTCGCCAATCAACAATCCAACTATATATCATCCACCCACCACTTGAAACCCATCCAGTTTCATTAACCACCCAACAATCGCATGAAATCCACTCATCATCCTCAACCTCTAGTCAACTAATTAACTCGCTACACAAACACTCCCCTTGATCATCCCCGGTTAAGTTGGTTCATTGACATTATATCAGAGCAAAAGTTCTCCATAAAAACAATAAGCCCGTCTTTTTTTTTCCTTCTTACCATTGATCACGCCGGCACCTTCTTATATTAGAATATAAATTTTTTCCGACCTATAATCACAAATTCAAACTTTTGATTGAGTTAGTTCCTTCATATGATATAAGAGTTTCCTTGACTAATAGGTCACGAATTTAAACATTATCATCACCAAGCTTTTAAAAAATTAAAACTTTGCATTTTATGTTTATTAATTACCATATAAGCAATATTAATATGGCCCCCCAACAGAATGATAAAAACATACGACTTCTATACTCTATATTGTTTGGATATGAATGTCCAATTCCCCTTGCCTTCATATATGTGTTTTTTCCCCTTTAATATGTTATACATATAATCTCGTATTACATACATGTGTTTTTTATATTTTCAACTTTAGTGTTGTTAAGAATAATCAAAATTTGTATCTCTAATCAAAATTTGTATCTCTAATTCTGTTATTTTTTTTTTGAAAATTATCCCCTTTGTCTTATACGAAGTTTGTTTATATTTATTTTCATTGTTCATTTGATAAAATAAATTGTTGCTTGATTTATAAATTAAAATTTTTAATATACTTTTTAAGTATAGAGCATATAATTTTTGTTTTGTAATTTTGTACCAATTTTTTATTATGTATAATTAAAATATAATTTCAGTCCATGAAAATTTTATTTTAGGGCAAAGTAAGTATATTCAAACTACTACCTTCTTCTAGAGTTTATTTATTCAATTTGATATTTTTGACTTAAATTAGACAAAATTTTTTCATTAATTAAACAAAAAATGTATCGTAGACTAGTATTGAAATGTTGCATTTACGAAGTATATTTTCTTAAATTTTTAAAATTTTATTTCATTGTATTAATATAGAATACAAATTCAACTAATTAATAATAAATTTTTTTCTACTTGTAAGATACTCCCTTTGTCTTAAAATGAGGCTCTTGTTCGGTTTAAGATATTTGAATGAATTTAATTTCAAATTAATATAAATAAAAATTGAGATAAAATAAATAAATAAAAATTACATACAAGTATTGAAAAACTACATCAAGAATTTTACAAATAAACAGTGATAAAATTATTTTATTTTATCAAATGAAAATTTTATATAAAAAAAAAAAAAGAAAGTAAAATTAGTGCTCACATGGAGTCCCTCATTTTTTTGAAAGGTTACTAATCACGTGTGATTTTAAAGTGATTAGACCAAAATAATATGGACAACTACCTTGTCCAAATCTCCTCAACCAGAGGGCGAAATAAATATGTTGATCTAGAGAGAGATACAGAGGGAGGGAGGAGATCGATGGCGATCCTTTATGCGTTGGTGGGTCGGGGATCGGTGGTGCTGGCGGAGCACAGCGCTGCGTCGACGAACGCGAGCACCATCGCGAGGCAGATTCTGGAGAAGATCCCCGGCAACGGCGACGCCAACTCGTCCTACTCTCAGGATCGCTTCATCTTCCACGTCAAGCGCACCGATGGCCTCACCGTCCTCTGTATGGCCGACGATGTCGCCGGAAGTATGTCTGCTTTCCTCAATTTTTTCTTCTAAAATTTACTTCTTGCCTCGTAGATTTCAAATTACTTTTTCTATTTTATTTTGTTTTTTTTTTCAATTTTAACCTAACCGTAATCCGCTCATGAGTCATGCTATAAGGATTGTTGAATATTTGAATGTGGTAAATTCAAGGACAAATTTGGGTTCAATTTTTAAAATTTCACTCCCTCAGGATATCCATATTTATATTTATGCATAGATATATTTTATAAATAATACTCCGTATTATATTTCAAAACTATGTTTAAAACGAATAAGTTGAACATTTTTTCTGCATATTGGAGTGAAATTTTTCAAATTTTCTTGAAGAAAAGTCAAATGCTGGAAAGAAAATTTGTGGATGGTGTACTAACTTTCTTCAAGGAAATTCTTTGTCTCTTCGATTGCCTCCATTTCATTAGCAAACATTCTGATCTAGATTTAGATCACCAATGCTGAAATTGAAAGCTACTCTGTACAATATGCCTTAAAAAGAACAAATTAAAACTTTGATTTTGTGGAATTGGTTCGATTACTTGCTGTTGATGAATCTAGGTCGATGGATGTTTATGGACCTATGCGTTGTTTGATTTTTTTTTTCTCTCTCCAAAACCGAGCTTCGAACACACAAGAGAAGCTGGTGGTTTTTTTATCTGTTCAAGTGAATCTGGATTGACCTTTCCACAAAGTAGCTTTGCTTGGTTTTCTTTAGTACCGTTTTCACGCATCGCTCTACAGGGAGAATCCCGTTTGCGTTCCTTGAGGAGATTCATCAGAGATTTGTGAGAACCTATGGAAGAGCTGTGCTCTCTGCACAAGCCTATGCCATGAATGATGATTTCTCAAGAGTCCTTAGCCAACAAATGGAATATTACTCAAACGATCCAAATGCAGACAGAATAAACAGGTTGAAAGGTGAAATGAGTCAGGTGAGTTATGATATATCTAAGATACAATATTTTGTTTAACCATATCAAAAAAATGTTCTTAATTGCTTATAACCCTTGTATGGTAATTTTGCTTCATTGTTCTCCTTCCGGCCAAGGGAAAAAAATCATGTTTTGAAAGCTAGTTTTCTCCCAAAAAAAGTCACATTCCATAAAACAGAGCTAATTTGTAGTGTTATTTGTCTAAAACTTACAGTCAAGCTCATTAATATAAATTTAATCAAACTAATAAATACTCTGTATTTTAAAGTATGTGGGATTTCTAGACTTTTACGCTATGTTTTATTCAAGGAATTTGGAAGGAAAATAAAAGAAAATAATTTTCTCTCATTTTCCTCACCAAAATGGGAGAATTTTGGTTTTCCCTACTCTTAGTACATTGTCCTTCTTATTTTCTTTTCCTTCCGCTTTTCCTTTCTTTTCCTCTCTAACCAAACAATAAAAACCGGTTTCCAGCTCATTTTCTTTTCTTTTCTCTCTCAAATTCCTTGAACCAAACATAGTGTTAAGAGACGTGCCTTGTCAAGGTTTAAAAAGTTGTACGTTAACCAAGCAAGAAGCTATTTTCCGGGATGGGGGAGTACATGTTTTGTACATTTGCTTACTTGACCTTCGACATTGCCACAAAAGTTTGAAGTTATCCGTGTGAGGATAAAATAATCTAATTAAAAAAACTGTATTGCGTCTGATGTTCCAAGTTCCAACCATTCGATTGTTGAAATAATATGAAACACATGACCTCATCCCATTCATGTGTATCGTACGCAATAGGTGCGGAACGTCATGATTGAGAACATCGACAAAGTTCTTGAGAGAGGGGATCGTTTGGAATTGCTGGTTGATAAAACTGCTAATATGCAAGGAAACACCATTCGCTTCAGGAAGCAGGCGCGGCGTTTTAAGAATGCTGTGTGGTGGAGAAATGTCAAACTCATGTATGTGACTCAAACTAGCACTACTTCCCTTTTTATCTATGCATGCATTATTGTCTTAGAGATGGATTTCGCATTTTCCCATAGTTTCGTCTTCGCTACTGCACATAAATGGGATTCTAATCCAATATGTGAAATGCTATATTTGGGTAGTTGAGGTTGATTTTCTTCATATGCCTATATGCTCTTCTCCTTGCTTGTGTGGTATTTTTTTAAACCATGGTTCATGGTTGTTTTTCGATATGCTTTGGTACATAGGCATTTGAATGGACTATATTGAAATAACACATTAAGGGTCCGTTTGGTATACGAAATTGATGGAATTGGAATTGAATTGGAATTGAAATTCCATGGGATTCAATTCCATAGAATTGAAATCACCAATCCCAATTCATTTTTTGCACTATCAATTCCAAATCCACATAATTTTTGTGCTACCAAACACCAGAATTGGAATTGAAGTCTTCAATTCCAATTCCATAGTTTGAATTCCGTGTACCAAACGGGACCTAAACTTCTAATCAACATTATCAACTTATTTTGTCCATCTCTAATTCATTGCCGTCTTCTTCTTCTTCTTTTTCCTGCAGAGTTGCGGTGATATTCTTTTTGTTGGTGATAGCTTACATCGTTTTGGCATTTGTATGTCATGGCCCTGCGCTTCCATCGTGTATAAAGTGAGAATGGTCAAATTGGCCGTTCCTCTTCTCCATTCTCAGGTTTCCATGTGGTTCTCGGTTTATTTCATGTCATTGCTCTCCGGTCTTTCTCTCTCACACTAACGTAGAGTGAATCGGAGTGCGACTGGGCCCACGACTGCCCAAATGAATGGCATTTCTCTATGAATGGTTTCATCTCGAGTGAAGTGAAGTATTTTTTTTCCTGCTTTTTTTTATGACACCAGGGCTGACAAAGTACATGAGGTTTTGTGTCCGTGTGATTATCTTGTTCAAAATGAAAAATCTAAGATTTGTAATTTTATATTTCTCTAAATTGGCTTATTATAAATCATTAAATGAGTGCAATTAAAGGGTTACTTAATGTTATTATACTCCGTTTGAGGCTTAGATTGGTTTCCCCACTTTGCTTTTGCTAATACTCCGTGATCATATTGTCTAATTAAAGTTTACACAAGGGTGGGACAAATGAATGGGATAATTGATGTACCAATCAAAGAGTCATCTACTAATAATATGGGAAAAAAACAGGGGAAGGATTAAAGGTTTTTCCAGTTGGCTCTTTTTTTTTCTCTTGTCCAAGTTGTAAAGAGAAATATCAGGGAAGATGATTGAGTATCTTAACCCCACATTTGACCTCATTTGCATTCAGAGACATTACAGACACAACATTGTTCTGTGTCTATAATGTTTGTGAAGACAATTGGGGTCAAAGGTGGGGTTAATATAATTTTTTCTCTTTTTTTCAAATTGTCCAAGTTGTCCTTTTTTTTTAATTTCAAATTAAACCTTGAGCACAAGCGGATCTCTTCTGATGTCAAACCATTCATCTATCTATTTATACATTATACCAAATCCATTTTTATCCAAAAATAAGATTTCATATGGAATAATGAGTATTTCTTTTCGTTCACTACACAAATATCATCCATACATTTCTATCTTTTGAATGATTGCACCTGGTAAAATCTGTATATAGTTATATGCTATGTTCTCATATCCTTCTCTACCTAGGCATATTGCACAAGTTTTTTCACCTTCTCCCCCTTTTCAACCAGGGGGTCTATGACTGGAGATATGTATCAGAGTTTCAAAACCAAAATCTCACCATTCAGTTCTGAGATTCATCATTCAGTTATGAGATTCAGTCGCCTGAGCCAAACAGAGTGTAAAATCATATGAAACACATCATACCTCTGAGCAGGCTCGTTAAACACGAAATGCTTCCTCACAGCTCGAACCCCTTCCTTAAGCCTCAAGTACTCGTATGGAGAGACGGCCATCAAGATCTCCTTCAACCGCGGGATCTCCGATACCTCTACCTGAAGTGGCGGATCCAGAATTTTCAAAGAGTGGATTAAGTGTTTGATTAGTTTATCGTAGAGATGAGAGAAAGAAGGAAAATGATGCTCTTGTTTGTGCAGTTTTAATTTTTTTCCCAGATATTAAAATACTTCATCCGTTCACCAAAACTCTTACACTTTCATTTTTTTCTGTTTCATCATAACACTTTCATTTTCTTTTAAAAAATAATTTTACTGCTACTAATTACTTTTTCTCACACCATCAGGGGTTACATTGGGAAACCAACTCCAAATAACCCTTTATTTCTTATTCTTATAACAGTTCTTAAATAAATTGATTTTAAAAAACATGAGGTTTAGCCTCGTAATTCTAATATTGTAGTTCTTCCGTCTCATAAAGATGTTCTCATTTTGACTTTTAAGAATATTTTAATGAGAAATATTTTTGTGTTAACATTCCAAAACATCCTAGATGTGGGTAAATGTAGAATGTGATAGATAGATTATTAGTTAAAGGGTATGGTGTGATAGGTGAATTAAGATTTAATAAAGGTAAAAATGATTTTTAATTGAAAATGGAAGGATTTTGGGATGGAGAGAGTAATAAAAGTTGAGATGGGGGGAGTATATTATTTAATCAATAGTCAAAATTTGTCCATTTTAATCACAAAAAGTTAAAACTAGAGAAATCTGGAATACTTTGTTAGATTGGGTAAGTTAGACTCAACTAAAACAAGTGTAAGTCGGCTCATGTGTACCTGTAAAGAGAAGGCATCCCAGTTAAGGACGTCGCTGAAGGGGAGAACGTAGCTAGCAGAGAGGATCACGGGGATGCATTCGGCGTAAATGGCCTCCACGACGCGGGGGCTGGCCACCTCGTGCCCGCTGGGGCAAAGACAGAACCTGGACTGGAGCATCAGGGTGTAGTAGTCCAGGTGGTCGGGTAGGTACTCGTAGACTCTGATGGGGTGGTCGCCGTCGTCGCTGCGGTTCTGCCAGTGGCGGAGGAGGATGGGGCGTATGGGGCCGTGGAGGCCGCCGGCGAAGAAGGCGAGGAGGGGCCTCGGGGCGGCGGCGTTGGGTTGGAGGAGTTTGGGGGATATGTTTCCGGTGTAGAGATGGATCTCCGGTAGGCTGACGTCTTTCTGGGGGTTGAACCCTTCTGAGGAGTTGGCGTTGCATAAGACTCTTATGGAGGTGTTGTAGACGTTCGCGTTGCCTTTTGATGCCAGTGGACCCTGAAAACAATCAAATTGATGGCTTATTTTCAAAGAAGGTACCCCAATTTTGAAGGTTGTAACAAAAAGGTACTCCATCTTACGTTTGTAACAAAAAGGTACTCCATCTTTTAAATCTATAACAAAATCATACCCCTTCATCGTAATTGATACAATCCGGCGAATTTTTGATGAGGTGGCATCCATGTTGGCTTTCTCTCTCGTACGTGTTAATTATTCTCGTCTTAATAGTTTTTTTCTTAAATAATTTGCATTAAAAAAGTTCAAAAAGTTCAAAAAATTATATTATTTAAAATTATATTTATTAAAAAAAGTTCAATAAATTATTTGCAAATTATTTAATGCAAATTATTTAATTTTATTAATAAAAAATTATATTCTCCAAATATAATAAAAAGAAACTTATTTGCAAAGAATTAATTGTTATTTTAAAAATTTTAATACATGACCAATTTTATTTAAATCAATATTATATTTTCATAAAGAAACATGTTCTTTTTGTTATGTATTGAACATAAAAATATTGTTCTAAATTTTTTTTAAGAAAAAAACTACTAAGAAGAGAAGGTATAATTAACACGTAGGAGAGAGAAAGCTAACACGGATGCCACCTCATCAAAAATTCGACGGATTGTATCAATTCCGATGAAGAGGTATGATTTTGTTATAGATTTAAAAGATGGGGTACCTTTTTGTTACAACCTTCAAAGTTAGGGTACCTTCTGTGAAAATAAGCCTCAAATTGATCTATTAACTTCAAATTTTTTGTTTGCTAATTCTGTTACATACATAGTACTCCATATGATTTTTTTTACAATAATATTTCGGAGATTTCGGCCTTTTACGGAGTAATTTTCAATATCAACCATTATAATAAACACTTTATACATTTTTCGTCACTTTAACTTATTCTAATTAAAATAATGGAGCACGAGGATTATTATATATACTCCGGCCTCCCTCCCACAAATATCTTTACATTTTGATATTTTTTTTGTCAAATTTTACACATTTTGATCAATATGTGTTTATAATATCTATTTATTTAAAATTATATTTATTAATAGTTAAAATATGCAACAATTTGATCAAGAAAGTCAAATTATTAAAAAAATTGTGAAGAATAAATTTCTTTCATAAAACCTAATAAGAGCATTTTTTAGACAAATAAAAAGACAAGACAGTTGAATGCATGCATGCATAAAGATGGACAAATAATAATCACTTGTGTTTTCTCACTTGACATTTCGTAATTTTAAATGCAATATTTTGATCATTAATATCTTTATTTATACATTAATACTTCACATATATTATAAAAAAATATGATATTTCTAAATTTCTAGGGACAAATTAAGCGTTTTTTTAATTTGTGGTCAAATTGTAAAAACTTTGACCATAAAAACTAAAGAACCAATTTGGATGGATGGAGTATAATAATAAAGCATGTATGCATGTATATATGTATGTTTTTTACGTACATACGTACCCAATCATGACAAGAGAGCATGAAGTGGTCAGCGCCCTGAGTTCGATTCCAGAAAGGGTGTCGGGTGGAGATGACCCGAACGTAATCCGACACAAACTGCTGGAGAGGGGAGACATCATAAGTGAGGGGCTTGTAGAGGTACTTCACCATCCAAGTCACACTGAAAGGCATGAAGTAGACGTGGGCCGAGTACGGGTCCTTGGTCCTGAACCCGTGGTTCCTCCCGTGCTCCATCTCCCCGATGAACCTCCCCTCGCTCGCGTATATGTTCTTGCATGGCCCATCGTGGACTACTGGCAGTTCCCCTTCCTCGTACACGAACACCTTGAATCTCCTCTCCATCTCCATGTAGCTCCTGCATTTAGTATAATTAATCTTTTCGATTGAGAATCAAATCCTTGCATTGAAGATATATAATTATAAAAATCAAACTTTAAAACTTATTTTAGGGCAAAGAGATTATTAAGATGAAATTGTATTTTATTTAGGTCCGGCCAATCGATTGGCTCATGAAAAAATGCAATCTTAGACCAGACCAGAACGAATGAAAACCAAATCTATTCGGTTTAGATTAGGCCTTTTGCTCGATCGGTCCGGTCCGTGCCCATTTTGAACCGGATTAGGAGATCATTCAATGCTTAACAAGTGTGTATACACTACAGCCCATTTACCAAATATTCCTGGCCCAAAATCCACAAATTACATCAAATATCCCATTTAAACTCTTTTGAAAAACAGATAGAGAAGAGTAATATTTATATTATTAATGTACGTGAATAGCATAGCATTGGGTTCATAAAGTGCAAGTATATGGAAATGGCAATGATGCCATTCTGCTAATGAATAGACACTAGTGCAACGTGAATGCATGTGGAGGTAGATTGAGAGCTCCGGTCCAGACTCCAGTCATTAAACGCTCGCACATATCAGTCACTTTCATATCCCACAAAACTTTTTTTATGTTGATTTTTAAAGGATTTAAGGGGAGTATATTTTAGTATTGAATTATCAAAAATGTCCTGAGATGTAATGGATAAAAATAGGATGTGATGTGATAGGTAGGTTAAAATTTAGTAGGGATAAAAATGATTTTTAAATAGAAATGAAAAAGATTTTTAGGACAGATGAAAAAAGATGGAAGAAAAATTTTGTTGAATGGAGGGAGTAAAACGATAGCTACACAAATTTACACACACACATATCACGTCACTCGGAGACGATAGAGTGCAATCTAGAAATTTTAGGTCCAACCCCTGATGAATAAATCTATTGATAATAAATTTATATGATAATTCAATGTATTATTTTTGTTCTTTACGGTCAAAATTTAAAAAATTTGTGGGAAAAGATCAAATGATACAAACATTTTGGAGGGCGAGTAGTAAATGCTAGGTGTTTAGTATTCTTGAAGCGCAAGCTAGGAAAACAAGAATTACTTCCTCTTAATTTTATGCGGAGTATTATAAAATACTCCTAATTATTTCTAACCGATCAACCCCATCTTTGATGATGCCACTAGGAGTAAAGGATACTGCAGAACTTTTGACAGAAATTAAAGTTGGGAAAACGATCACTTTGCATTGAAGTTTATAAATTCATAACCCCCAATAAAAGCCTCTCCTTTTTCCGCAGGGGAGTGCAGAGTTCTATTTGTCACGAGGGAATATTATTAACTGATCTCAAAATTTAATTATAAGGAAATAAGACCGCAAGTCCGCAAGTAATAGTAAACTACTCCCTGTTCATTTCCATTATAATGGAATCGTGTGAACCAGAGAAACAACAAATCACAGCAATCTGAAGAGAATGGTCGGTTACATTTGAATGATGTGAACATCAATATATTAATCGATTCATTTTACACGATATAAGGAATATAGTTTTGATATATCAAAATTTTAATGACATTTAATTATATATTCATACAGTTATTAATGGTCAAAGTATCATTTTTGTGATCACCCAAATGTAAATACTCCCTCCGTTTGGAAAAACTCTTCCCATTTGATTTGGGGGGGAAAATAAGGAATTGTTAAATTATAGTTGATTTCCAATTTTGCCCCTGATATGATGGATAAACGTAAGATGTGATAGATTGATTATTAGAGAAAAAGTATGATGTAATAGGTAGGGTATGAAAAAGTAAGGGTAAAAGTGGTTTTTTAATAGAAAGGGGAAGTGTTTTGTTGGAAGTGGAAAAAATGAAAGAGGAAGTGTTTTTGAAAACGGAGGGAGTATATTTTTTAGACTAGGGAGTAGTCAAATCATCTACAAAAAATTTCTACACCCTCCGTTCTTAAAAACACTTCCTTTTTCATTTTTTTCACTTCCAATAAAACACTTCCACTTTCTATTAAAAAATCACTTTTACCCTTACTTTTTCACACCCTACCTATCACATCATACTTTTTCTCTAATAATCTATCACTCACATTTTATTTTTACACATCACATCAGGGGCAAAATTGGAAGTCAACTATAATTTAACACTTCCTTATTTTGGCTCAAGTCAAACTAGGAAGCTTTTTTGCAAACGGAGAGAGTATTTGATTTTTCAAATGTTTTTTAATGTTATACTTTGATCATTAATAATATTTTGTATATTTATAGAGTATTTTGGTACAATATACTCTCTCCCTCCCTCTTTAATTTGATTACAAATTGGAAGTTACGAGGTAAAATTTCTCGTCTTTTGAAATTATTTTATTTATAAATTGATATATCAATGAGAAATAAAAATTACATATTAAAAAATTACGTTAAAAATTTTATAAAGCAAGAGGTGACAAAAAAAAATTCATTTTCTAAAATATTAATGAAAACACACAAATAATTAAATAAAAGTTGTCGAGATGAGAGATAGAAAAAATTGTAATTTATTTCAGAACAGAGGGAGTATGATACTCTACCCATCCCAAATACCATTTACTACGTACAATTTAATACTACCTCCGTCCCGCTATATTCGTCCACTTTTGACTTTTAGAAGTGTTCATCTAAGCACTTTAACTCATCAAATTCTCTCAATGTGTAAGCCTAAATATAGTCATGTGTGATCTTGTTTGATTTGTCTTAACATATAGATTATTAATATATAATTTCTATAATTTTTTAATATACAAATTACAAGATAAAATGGATTAGAGATTTATATTGGATGGTGTGTAAAAATGAAAGTGGACAAATACTCTGAGACGGAGGGAGTATTAAATTGTTGATACTTTGACCATTAATAAATTTAGTAGTGAACATTGCTTCGTATAAAAATAAAAAATTGATATAGCCCCTCCTTCCACCTATAATCTTCTCATTACGCATTACGAGGCTTGGAGACAATCATTTCAATTCTACTGTTTGGTAGCACAAAAATATGTGAATTTGAAAGTATCGTAGTAGCACAAAAAATGAACTAGAATTAGAGAATTCAATTCCCCCCAAATCATTTCTATAGAAAATCCAACTTCCAATTCCGTCGATTTCGTGTACTAAACGGACCCTTACCATGTGTTTGGTTCAAGGAATTTAAAAGGAAAAGGAAAACAAAATGAGAAAGAAACCATTTTTCTTGTTTGGGTAAAAAGGAAAAGAAAAGAAAACTGGAAGGAAAAGAAAATGAGAATGATAAATGTACTAAGAGAAAGAAATACCAAATTTCTTTCATTTTGATGAAGAAAATGAGAGAACCAAACTAATTTTTTTTCTTTTCTTCCAAATGCCTTGGGAACCAAACATATTTAGTATATTCACCTTGACTTTTTTTTGATATGGTTACTCTAAAATGAGTGTATTAAATGCTAGTCATGATGCTATGGTCCAACTTGACCGACCTAAAAATTTAGGGAAAGGCATATATGATTATATGTATGGTGAGTCAGTATAACGAATAAGAAGCTACGTTTTTTTTCCTATTTCGAGTCGGTGCAATCGAGTGTGGCTCTTCCAGGGAAAACACAACACATCATGGCACCATGCTTCAGTTACAATTCAGGACTCCTTCCGGTCACCCCCCCCCCCCGTTTTATTCCACATCAATTACATGAACCAGATAATTATTGCAATTACAGCGCATCGTCGCATTTATATATATATGGAATTAAAATTATTGTGATTGAGGTGTGTAACGTCAATATGAATATACTTACTGGGTTCTTCTTCATGCATTGCACACATATATGATAAAATTATCCGACTCCCAAATTCAATGTCCGCAGAAACTAACGTTTTAATTAACCTAATAAGCAATTAATTTCGGAGTTTTCGATTGCTTACCGGTGAAATGCTCGGGGATTGCGGTAAATGCCGCCGGAGATCGTCGGCGCGGACTGTTTCCAGGTTGAAGCTGCTTTCCTGATTACATGCCGTGCTCTTGCCAAACCTTCCTCTATCTTCTTCGTTTTCTGGAAATTGAATTTGAGTTCGATCAGTTAAAACAGAGAAGCTAAGCACGCATTAATGACTTCAATAAATCTGAGAATTCAAAAGGTCACAACGGCAGAGAACTCTGAAATTCATAAACTGAAATTGAACACTACATTCATCGGAAACGAAGATGAAGTTCAAATCAACAATGTCGATTCGCGCACGCGTTCAATTTCAAATTCGATCAATTCGCAAAATCAAAATCGAATCAATTCACGAACACAAACGAGCTGGCGGCGACGGATTAACTCACGGTGACTGTTCGTTTCCGATGAGGAGATTTGATTGCAATCGAGTCGTTTCTACCGATCGGCCGCTCCTCCTCCGCGGAAACTGCTCGAGCTGGTTCGTACGACGAGCTTCCTGCTCCGTTCACCTTCGTCTGCAGCTCCAGGATCGGAACGGTGAAGAGATCGCCGCCGTCAAAATCCGGCGGGTTCCGGTCCGGAGCTACCAGTGCGAGCGACGCGAAGCTCTCTCTCAGAGCGGAGGCTCGGATGCAAGCGACGGCGATCGTCGATCCGACGAGCAGGAAGCAGAGTACGGACAGAAAAGCAGAGAGCATGACTCGTCCCTCGCCGATTCCGCCATTATCGTCACCTTCGTTTTTCTTCTTCATTTCTCTCTCTCTCTATGTATGTATAGATACAAACGGGACTTGTGTGTATCTATATCTGCTCTCTCTCTCTCTACTTGAAACGGTTATTTGGGCGGGGAGACACTTATACTCTCGAACTTGTGAAAAATGGAAGCGCGAGTGCTTAATTAAGCGCATGTGAAATTGACTAAATTAGACTCCGAAGACATTTTCCCAACTAGGAATATACATTTATTATTCTACCATTAAAAGTTAAAACTATGGTCGCATAACTCTCATTCCCAACAATATACAAAACTTATTATTATTTTTTGAAATTATTTTATTTACAAATTAGTTAAAAATTTATTCTGTACAATTTTACGATCACATCAAAATATTTTAAACAATAATATAAAAGAAGAATATTTTATTTTAGTGAATAGTTAAATAAACACCAAAATGAACAGAAGTTATCGAGAAGGTAGAACAAAAACCAATTCTGCATACACTATTGTTGGGGACGGAGAGAATAATTACGTAATATTAAATACAGAGTACTATCCTTCTGTTCTTAAATAATTTTTTATTTTAACTTTACACAAAATTTTAAAATGATAAAATTTTATACAGAGTAGTTAAATTTTTGTAGAAGAAATAAGATGATGACTGTCAACAGAAGAACTCTTTTTAAAATGAAAATAGAAAGATTAATTATGGATATCTAAAAATAGGTGTGAAAATGAAAAAGAGACTAAGAGAAATATTTAAGTGTATCAAGATATCTTTTTCGAACCTTGATTAATTGTCTTTCACATTCAACGTTTCTTCTTCTTCTCTTAGACCAAATGGTGGGGGTCGCCATGGTGCGCCGCGATGGCTATCTGACGTCACTCGTATCACGCCGTAGATCACCCGCCTCCCTTTAGGCGTGATTGTGATAGTGGTGATGCCCATCACGCGATGACGGTCACCAAAATCATTTTCCTTTTTTTTTGCTTTGTTTAATTTCTTCCTCTTTCTTATTCTTTTCTTTTTTAGAATTCTCTTCTCCTTCTATGTTATTTGTTTACTTTTTAATTTTACTTCTTTAGTTTTTTTGTTTGTATTCAATTTAGGTTTTTTTTGTTTTTGTTTGATAAATTTTTAAAAAAGAAAATGTAAATTAATAAAATGCTAATTCAATTAAATGGTTATTTTTTATTTTCAATCTAGTACTTGTATTTTCATCATCTATCACTTTTATTTTTTTGCATTATGTCAATGTAATTTTTAATTTGAATTTTATTGAAATATTTGTTTAATATTTTTATTTTAAGTTATTTTTATTTAAATATATTTTTAAAAACATTTAAAAAATTGGACGTGATCGTGTGGTGTGGTGAAAATAGAAAAATTTACGTGACGCTGAGTGAGATAGCGTGATGGGCATGATGACATTCATGTTTGAACTCGTGACCCCTTAGCCATTTATACTCTGATACCATGACAATAAATCAGCTCAACCAAAATCTCAAATTTGCGATTGTAGGTGGAGGATATATTTTATACTCTAACACCTATATACGGAGTATATAAGAATGAAATTTTCATTATTCAACAAAAACGGCTATTATCAATTTGTAGCAATTAAACAATAAACTCTGTATATATTAACACCTTCATACTAGAAATTTTTTTTATTTTGACTTTTTTGGTCAAGCAGTCACATTGCTTGATCAGAAACTATGAAAAATATATTTAATTATACTGTAAATTTTATAAATAAAAATTGGGTCTTCTCAGAAACGGAACTCTTTTACATGGTCTCAAACTCTCAATTAATTTAAATGACAATTAAATTCACTTATTACTTACAATAAAACTTCAAATTTAATTTGTGAAATGTCATATTTTTGGGAGTAATCACATGAAATTTTCCTTTTAAGAAAAAGAGAAGAAAACAAAAAAAGAATCTTTTAAACACAGATGATTAAATAATTAGCAATATTATTTCATTTCTCCATCCCCATTCCCCAATTTCCTCTAATAAAAAATACAATCTGCAATAGTTTCTCTCTTTTGTTTTGTTTTGTTTTTGTTTTGTTTTGGGTAATTGTTCTTTTAAAATCATATTACAAATCAAATCAAATGTTGGAAAATTGAGGAATAATGGGATTCTTTCTTGGTATATTCTTTGGAGCTGCATTGGGCTTTGGATTCATAGTGTGTTTTGCCAGATATCAGACCATCAGATCCCTTAGAAGAACAGATTTGGTATTCTCTCTTCTTTAATTAATTTAATTCATTTCATGATCATATTGATTATCGTTAATTATATTCGATCTGGAATAAATCAACATTATTATTATTATTAATTTGTGCAATAATATATTTTAATTTTGGCTATTCTATTTCTAATGGGGTTTTTAGATTGTTTTTTTCTTCTTCTGAAATTCTATTTTAATCATTTGACTTGATTTTTTTAAAAAAAAATTGTTAGGCTGCAACTGTAGCAGCATTTGCAAGAATGAAAGTTGAAGATTCAAGAAAAATCCTTCCACCTGAAGTGTACCCTTCCTGGGTTGTTTTTTCACACAGGCAAAAAGTGAGTTTTCTTTTGGATCATATATATGCATGAAATGAAGCCCATTAACAAATAAGAACAATACTCCAATGGTTCCAAAAAAAAAAGCAATAAGAAAGGTTTCATTTGACTTTTTGAGATCAGAATAAAACAAAAAAAATGACTACAAAATTTTAAAAAGTATATTCCTATATCTGTCTTAGATTTTCATTCAGTTTTACTTTTTTAAGTCAATCTATAAACATTGTATTATATATTAGTAAAAAAATAATTTATTAGATATATTCTGCGGAGAAATATTTGAAAATTAATTTCATTGTATTAATATCCAATACATTGTCAAACGGAGTATAATTTCATTTTTCCCTAATACTGTCCATACTTGCTTGACTGTTATTATATTGCTTTGCCTAATTTCTTTTGGCTAATTGCAGCTAAATTGGCTTAATCACGTCCTAGAAAAACTATGGCCATATGTTGATCAGGTAATTATATACGAATGGTTTCATGCATGTCTTTAATAACAAAAAAAAGTTAAAGTTTATCCCAACTTTGGTACAGTTTATGACACCACCTTCTTAAGACATGCAATAGTAGAGCCACAGTTGCAGAGTTGCAGTCACTCCACTGTGGCAGAGAATAACACACACACACACACACAATTGAATTTCATTGGTTCTTTCTTTTTTGAACTAATCTCCCCTTTTAATCGATTCCATTGAAGTGAAATTTCCTTTTATGTTATTGCACACCATGTGCTCGACGAAATGCCTATGAGAACTGTTTTTATTTAGACCTCTTCCGGCCACCGCTAGGCCAATGGTCTTGTCACCATACTTGTGCCCCACTCGTGTTGGATCTTTGCTCCGCCACTGTAGACACAAACATTCGGCATTGTTTGGTGTTTGTGAATTTCTGTGAGAAGAATGGTGTCAAACATAGTGTCGGAGTTGAGGTACCCAAACATAGCCCTTAGTCACCCATGATCTAAAAATCCCAAAATATGTTCTGTGACCTCTAGCCAACATAATATATATGTATATTGTGATTTCTTTTCACATTTCCATTTGATTGCAACATTTAATTAGTTTATTGTGACAAATTGGTAGTGTAGGCTGCATCAGAAGTAATTAGGAACTCTGTTGAACCAATTCTTGAGCAGTATCGGCCATCTATCTTAGCTGCTATGAAATTTTCAAAATTAACCTTAGGTACAGTTGCTCCACAGTTCACAGGTAAATTCTTTCTTCTTCTTTTTCTTAAATGTGTTCTCCCGGAAAAAAAATGGTGCATTTTTCTTTATATATACACGGCGTCGAAGTTCATATACCTTTTAGAGAAAGTAATAAGTGGTTCGATTCACATTATTTTCTGTTCTTCGCGAAAAAAGGAGTTCTTTTAATGTTATTTGATTGCTAAAATTAGAATTTTTCTCATTGCATTTCAGGTGTTACCATTTTGGAAAGTGACCCTAAAGAAATTGTTATGGAGATGGAGATGCAATGGGATGGGAATCCCAACATTGTGCTTGACATAAAGACTTTAGTTGGTGTTGCACTACCCATACAAGTAATCATTTAATTATCCAATCTCATCTGTCTCAAAATAAACTTTATTCCGAATAAACTTTATTGAAAGTATTATCTACTATCTAAAATAGGTACAAAGTTCAAATTTTTACATTATTCATACACACTTTCATTTCACTATTTTGGAACAAAGGAAGTAATTAACCAATAAGTATATATGTTACTCTCAATGTTGTTTAAGTGTAGGTAAAAAACATTGGATTCACTGGTCTTTTTAGGATAATGTTCAAACCACTTGCTGATGATTTCCCTTGTTTTGGAGCTATTTGTTTCTCCTTAAGGGAAAAGGTGAGTTAATATATATATTTAGAGTTTTTTTTAAACGCTCGTAGTATTTTATACTCTATCTTTTCGTTTCAAGAATGACCAATTTATTCATGTAATTAAATAAATTAAAATGTAGTCTCTGAGACGCTCTGTTACAATTTAGTTGTCCACTTTCTAAAAACTTTTATTTTTAAGAAATACTCCGTAAATTTAAAATATCAGATAAGTCCTCCAAATGAGTTTGTCACTTATTCATGTTACAAATATTCATACTCTACTCAAAAGATGATTTAGACAATTCATTATAATTTCATTATTGAATAAAGAAGTTAGATAGTTAATTTTCCACAAACAAAAGTTGAAAAAATTGAACAACTAAATCGATACAGAACAAGATGTGCTTTTTGTTTGGTTTGGCAAAGTAATATATTTTTGGGGTGAATTTTTCTATTTGTATATATGCAGAGAAATTTGGATTTTACTTTGAAAGTCGTTGGTGGTGATGTTGCATCGCTTCCTGGAGTATCTGATGCCATTGAGGTGTGGAGTTTGTTTAGTTAGATAAATTCTTCTTGAAGGTTTATAGGCAAAAAACTACTCCATATGATATAAATATGTCTTTGTTTTTTAATTTACACATTTGCTTATGCGAGAAAGTCTATAATACAAACTAACTTTCTCTCGCGTGTTTTGTTTTGTACCAACATGTATATACATAGAGTACAATACGGGATGCCATTGAAGACTCTATCACTTGGCCCGTCCGTATAATCATACCCATAATACCCGGAGATTATAGGTATATCTTCTCTCTTATGGATTTAGTTATTTATTTTCTTGTTTCGTTTGTCTTGAATTAATTATTCACTTTCTATGTCCAATAAAGAAATTATGATGAATTATCTAAGATATCTTATAGATAGAGTATTAACATTGGTAACATAAATGAGTGATAAACTCAAGTGAGCAACTTAATTACTCCTTATTTTACAAATTAGAAAGCAGACACTTATATCCAGACGAAGAAAGTATTAATACTCTATCTTTTAGATAGAGTATTAACATTGGTAACATAAATGAGTGGTAAACTCATTTGAGCAACTTAATTACTCTGTATTTTACATATTAGAAAGTAGACAACTAAATTGTCAATTTAATTCCTTTGTCCCAAAAAAAGTGTCCGTAAGCTTTCGTTTTGGAGCCTCATTCAACTTATTCCGCTCATTCTCAATTTGATTAGAATAAGCAGAATAAGGCTTTGTTTGGTAGCCTTGTTTGAAATATTTTACTTATTCATTTGGCACAATGCACAAAACATGTGATTTTGTAACACTTACAATTTCTTTGAATTGATGCTTTAAAGTGATTTGGAGTTGAAGCCAGTTGGGATGTTAGAAGTGAAGCTCATCCAAGCAAAAGATTTAACAAACAAAGATATCATCGGAAAATCCGATCCATTCGCGGAGGTGTTCATTCGCCCAATACGCGCTAAAATGAAGAACAGCAAAGTCATTGTAAGCCAACCTAAGTAAGACAAACATTTCATAATAATGCCGTAATCGCATGCAACATCAAGAAACTAACTCAACCAAAAGCTCAAGCTTGTTATTATAGACCCAGGAAAGGTTTCTATATTCTAACAGAACATAATTTTTGTTTATTGCAAAGAACAATTCATTGAATCCAATATGGAATGAGCATTTTGAGTTTGAAGTTGAAGATGTATCAACTCAACACTTGACGGTAAAGGTTTACGATGACGAAGGGGTTCAATCCTCTGAGCTTATTGGTTGTGCTCAATTCGCACTGAAAGACCTTGAGCCTGGGAAAGTGAAAGTTGTTTGGTTGAAACTGGTGAAGGATTTGGAATTGCAAAGGGACACGAAGAACCGAGGCCAGGTCAGAATGACTAACACTATGTTTGGTTCAAGAAATTTGGAAGGAAAAGAAAAGAAAATCGTTCTCTAATTTTCCCCACCTAAATGGGTGGAATTTGGGTTTTCCTCCTCTTAGTATATTTTGCCTTCTCGTTTTCTTTTCCTTCCACTTTTCTTTTCTTTTCTTTCCTTGTTTCCTCTCTAAGCAAACATGAAAAATTGTTTCCCCTCTCATTTTCTTTTATACCCCTTTGGTATTCTTTGAACCAAACATAGTGTAAGAGTTGCATGTGTCTTTACATTTCTCCATCAATTACAATCTTCTTTTTGTTAACCTTGATGGGAGTTATGTATTACAGGTTCACTTGGAGCTGCTATATTGTCCATATGGAACAGAGAGCATATTCATGAACGCTTTCAACGCGGATTTCAGGCTAACTTCTTTGGAGAAAGCCCTTCGGCCGGGTCCCGACCGGACAGAACAACAACAGCAACAACAACAACAACACACACAGACGAAAAAAAGTGACATTTTCTTCAGAGGAGTGTTGACCGTGACGGTAATATCCGCGGAAGAGCTACCGGTCACCGATTTGTCTGGAAAATCCGACCCGTTTGTTGTCATCACTATGAAGAAATCGGAGCATAAGAGCAAAACTAGAGTGAGCTCATTAGCCATTTCCCTCCTTTCCTTTTCCATTTTACATCATTGGGTTTTTTGAGCAATGCTAGGTTCACAAACAGAATCGTCACAAACTTCACAAACTTACTATTTATGGTTTAAATTCTCATTTTAAAATTATTTTAGACTATTTAATTGTTTTTATTAAAGTTTACAAATAGTAAGTTTGTGAAGTTTGTGATCTTGGTATTTGTGAACCAAGCATTTCTCGGTTTTTTTGACACCCAAACTCATTATAATATGACACCAGCTCCATTTTAATATATTTTTTATGTAAACGGAAATGACAGGTTTTGAACAACACGTTGAATCCGGTTTGGAACCAAACATTTGACATAATCGTGGAAGATGGATTGCGGGATTTGCTTATATTGGAAGTTTGGGATCATGACACCTTTGGAAAGGTAAATTTTTTACCCTCATTAACGGATAATTGTCTTGAATAGGGGTAAAGTTTAGATAGTTTAATCATAACTAGACTTGGGACATGCACTCAATCTGTAAAGTCCAAGATGAAATGCAAATTTCTAGCATAGAATTTCATCTCTATTTTAGGGACATTTGATTCTTGTGCTAACATTTGATTTTGTGATTAACATTATTGTTCTTTTTAGGATAAAATTGGGCGATGTATAATGACACTCACGAGGGTCATAATGGAAGGAGAATATACAGATAGTTTCGAAGTGGATGGGACCGAAACTGGGAAACTAAACCTACATCTCAAATGGACGCCACAACCAATACTTCGTGACCTATGATTCATCATGACATATATAAATTTTCATTCGATTGAGGTAAGTTCTTAGGTGAACCAGAAGATCATCTAAACATCTTAACAACTTCATGAGCATTTTTTTTAGTTGTAGCTCGATCTGAGGGCGTCGAAGATTTGCAATTGTCCAGGGCGCCCAAAAATTTGGGGTCCTAAGGGAATGCATGTGCAATTCGTTATCGATTATAGTTATTTTGTTGATGAATATGTGAGACATAGAGAATATATATTCAATATTTGTTGGTCATGCAATCTAATTGTAAAGAAATGGTATATGTTTTTTCTTTAAAATAATCGATTTTTAAAATTGTGACTGTTTGTTTCGTCGTAAAAAATATTATCTTAATTTCAAATATTATAAGAAAGTGTACTAGAGGTTACATACTAACTTATCTTTTTTTTTTTCTTAACAAATCTTAATTATATGTTTTTTATTTTCAATACTTTTCTTAAACTCTTTATAGTCTGACTATGTCAATTGATACAAGACCGATGGAGTAATAAAGATTCGAGTTAGGGAAAAGAACTAAAATATGATCAAAACATAGCAAGAAAACAAAAATAAGATCTCTATATATTGATCATCAAAATAAGACTTATAATGTCAACAAGGTCAACATATATTACAAAAAGTATTGTCAATGCTAATATACAATACTATATTATCATAGTGCAATAGCCTATTTTAGAAATAAAATATGTCACTTTTATTTTAAAGAAAAAAATTTCTCTTATTTTGATTAATTTCTCTTTGAGAATATTGTACTATACTCCCTCCGTCTCATTTTAAATTGCCTGTTTGCCTTTTTTCTCCGTCCCAAAATAAGTTGCCTGTTAGTTGTTTTCGTAAACTTTTAAAAATAAAATACCTAAACTACCCCTAAAATAAGTCACACTTCTTCACCTTATCTTCTCATTCATCATCACTCCTCCTAAAAAGTAATGTCAATTTCGAAAAATTAACTCTATTTTTTATTTTCCTTAAATATGCCCAAAAATCAAAACAGACGATAATTGGGACGGAGGGAGTATGATTCTACACATTGTAATGCACACTATACATAGAAAGTAGTCATCCAGCCCCTTTTTTTACGTTTTGGCTTGACATAATTTTAATGAAAAATGTAAAAATCTTGATTTTTCATTGTTAAACAAATACATATTTATTTTTATTTTATTAAATTTTTTTACGTGAGAAGTTACATGTGAAACTTAAATCCATGATAAAATCAATCCTCTGTATACGCTTAAAATTCATTTTTTATATTTCTCACAGTGCATTTCCACTTTTTAAATAATTAATCGTTTGACTCGTTTTTGGTATTAATTTCAATATTTAGGCTCTCACAAAATTTCAACTATGAAATCAGAGTTAGAAACAACAATTCTAATTTTGGTGTTTGATAGCACAAAAATATGTAGATTTGGAATTAGTAGTGCCAAAAAATGAATTGGATTTGAAGAGTTCAATTCCATCCAAATTAATTTCATAGAATTTCAATTCCATGTACCAAACAGACCCTTATCTTTAGCAGAGATATTTTTCATCAACAATTTTTAGCTTAGCAATTTAAAAAAATTATGCAAAACGCTAACGCAACTCATATACAATTTTCTCAAACGAAATCTTACACTATATTTGGTTCAAGGAACATGAAAGAGAAAAGGAAAGAAAATGAGATGGAAAACATTTATTCATGTTTGGTTAGAGAGAAAAAGAAAATAAAAATGGAAGAAAAAACAGATGAGAAGACAAAATATACTAAAAGGAGATAAAACTAAAATTCTTCCATTTTGGTGAGAAAAAAAACAAAAAAAACTTCTTTCTTTTCTTTTCAAATTTCCTGAACAAAAAACACTGGTAATCTTGGAGGTAATTGGATGAAAATTTCTTTTAATGACAAAAGGAGTAAACAATAAGGGCAAGTTTAAACCAGTAATAACCAGTAAATGAGCAATGCTAGGGGTACCTCATTTGTACCTCACCCCCTTCTCCACCACCTATTTTTATCTACTCTTTATTTAATTAAATTTTTTTTAAAATTTTTGCCTTTTTTTTTTGTGGTAATAGAGGGGGTGAGGGACAAATGGGGTACACCAAAGGTGTACCCCTAACATTTTTCCCAGCAAATATACTCTTTTTTTGGTTTAGAAAGAGTTGAATTATTTGTTAACCATACACTTTGAAGTCCAAGTAGTAATTGATGTGCCATGTTGCCCACAATTATTATATTGGACTTGCCCACATAAGTGAGAGGTCACTACATAAAATCCCAGCCTCATAATTAGGCAATGTGTTATGGGGCGTGAGGAGGGGCTTCGCCACCCTCCGTCACGCCCCTCTTCGGCTCTTCCATTACACACTAGGCATGACCCGGCATTGCCCCAACAAGCTTGACCACCTTCACTCCGTGATGAATTCTTTCTTCCCCAATTTTTTAGTATTTGTTTTAAATTTTAACCAATCAAAATTTAACACACATTCACACCATAACACACATTCCTTCACACTCACCATAACACACATTTACATTTTTCATCACTCCACATTATACATCATTATACTTCGTCAAGCCCCATCAAGCGCGCCATAACACATGGCCTTAAGTTACCAAAAAACTACATAAACACTTTTGCACTTGCTATACTTGTATTACAAAGATACCATAAAAAAACATTATTGTTCAATGCTTTAGACTCCAAAACACACACACACACACACAATATAGAAAGACAAGGAAAAATGTTAGAGATTATAACAAACTATGCCCCATGAATATAAAAGAAAAAAACAAATTAAATGAATAATGTGGGGAGAAAACCAAAAACTCAAAATGTGATGACAAAACAACCAATGCTTCAAAATATCAAAGTGAGAAAAGACTATTTGCTTGAATGCTATAACCCGAAAAGTTTTGAGATCCGATCCGATAAATTAGCGATTACGAATCCCGCAAACACCTGCAATTCATTCCTCAAATGAAAAAAGAAAAGAGACAGGAAAGCTATTGAGCATGTAATGTCTAAACTCTAAAGTGTCTCCAACTACAACCAAACAAGTTAACTTAAATAAGGGCATAATGGTAATATCAACGGGGTCCTAAATATGAGCAAAATTATCTCAAAAAAACATACTTTGCTATGGAGAAAGTATATAATAATAAGAAAAAATCATGGCAATACGAAAATACTCCTAGAAATATAAGATTTTACACAAACACTCCAAGATTGCATGATCATCATCAATGTTCCTAAAAATTTAATATTTTTTACAATAATACTCCAAGATAGCATATTGATCTTATATACGCTATTTCTATAAAAAAACATTCGCTTTGGTTTATTATTGTAAAAACATTGCATTTTGGGAGCGCTTGTGATAATTACACAATCTTGGAGGTACTCATGTAAAATTTCTAGGAGTATTGACATGAATCTTTCATAATAGGAAGTAAGAATGATAAATTAATAATAATAATAATAATAATAATAATAATAATTGTGAACATTGTTTGTAACATGCTCCTTTCACGCCTCCGGCTCAAATATAGCATAGTGATTATCATGCAAATAAATAAATAAATAGATTTGGATTTTTGAGGGAATTGTAGTAAAATGAATGAGAGATTGATTACCTGAGCAGAGCCAAGAATATAGATGGCGGAATAATGTCGGCCATGAATGAGCATGTCGGCAACCATAGCAAGTGGAATGGTGAGAGACATCCCTAAGGTTGCCACCAATGGTGTTGTCCAAACAACACACAATGCCCTAAACAAACACCCTTGTATTAGCTTCCTCAAAAAGGTAAAAACAACTTTGTCCCACAAAAAATCTTTACCCACTTTCCTTTTTTGGACGTAAAAAAAATTCCCACTTCATTTTTTTATTTAAACAAATTCTAATAATATACTCTTCTGTTTTTAATACTTTTCTTCAATCTAGGTAAAGTTTTTTTGGGACGGAAGGGGTAAAAAAACATAGCTTCTGTTTAGACACCAACAGATATCGTACCAGCAGTAATCAGAAATGACACTTCCTATAAGTCCGTTGGCGAGCACAACTTCATCCACTTTAGCCGAATGAGGAATTGTAAACTTCGGTTCGATGCCCAAAGCCATCAGTGGCCACACTGAAATTAAATTTAATTTTTTTAAAAAGATGTAAGAGTTAAAACCAAAACCAAACCTTTGTTCCCATTTTTACGTAACGAGACGGAGGACTTACCGAGCCACCAAAGTGCCACAAGGGTGAATAGTCCAATATACCCAAACAATTTTTGCATATCAACCCTTTCTCCCTCTTCGCCGGCAAACTTCTTGAGAAGCACTGCAATATGATATGTTGATTGATTAAAAAAATGTCATATGATTAGGAAGTAAACATTTCAATTTTACAAAAAAAAAAAAAGTCTGACCGGTAAACAGTCCATATGTTGTAGCTGATAAGAGGCCAAAACAATCCCCAATGATGGAGCGTTTCCCGCTTCTTTAAAAGAAACAAAAAGTTCAACGATAAGTCTATGTCCTGAAAGCATGAAATACAAATTTTGTAAACTCATAAAGAAATTAGAAAGAATAACACTATTATGACTAACAAGATTTTATTCCATTTTCCACCCCAAAAGGATTTTTAACAAGACCTAAACCAAAACCTACTATACAATTGCCGTTGGATTTATACAGAGTTTGAAGACTGGACTCTAGAAAGTGGTAATACTCCATTTATACAGTAACCACAAAAATGTTGTTTGAAAATCTTGGCAACCATTTTCAACAAAAGAAACTCAATAAAAATAATGCATAGTCAAACAGTAGAGCCGTAGAATTAAGTAATAGAGAGACGTACAAGGAAGCGCTCAACTCAGATTCATCAGTGGCCCAAGTTTTCCCTAAAGTGGTCATGACAACGCCGGTCAGGCTGATGAGCACAGCAACCACCTTTGACATGTTTAAAGAATCTTCCCCCAAAATTACACCGAAAAAGAGAGTGAACAATCCTGAAGTAGCTGATAATACTGTTGTACTTGCCACGCTGGTGTAGGCAAGTGCAGCATTTGATAAGTACTGCAAAATGATCGGCGCAAATTGAGCTCGTGCATTTAAGCTATTTTGATGAAATCTAGTTTTAACTATTATTCTCATTTATATCAATCCCAAAGCTTCTGTTTGGTTCAAAAGACAAGAATGTGTGTGTGCGCGTGGGGTGGGGGGATAATAATTAGTGTTTGGTAAAGAAGAGTAGGATTGATAAGCCCAAACAGCCACTTAATCTGAAAGTTACTCAAACAAAAAATCGTTATTCAAATGAGATAAACAACTTAGGGACATAAAATGTATATATACCTCAGTAACAAACCAGATAGGGGCAATATAAAATCCATAGCGAGCAATGTCTCTAGTTGTTATGGGTTTTTCTTGTTTGATATGGGTGGCATCACCACCACCCATGGAGCTAACAATCAATGGCGACCCTTCTTCTTGATCCTCAGAAAGATTAAGGTCACTATCTTTTCTGCTCAATGATCCATGGATTTCAATCTCAAAGACTTTCCCCCCTACATACTTCAAAGGAGAGGAAATGCCATTGCCAGACAAGTCACTGCTTAATACGCTCTTATCGCCTTTAGTAGGACGCCTATTGACATAGCTACATATCCAGTCCTTAAGGAACGCTATAGGGAGATATATTACAAGCAAAGAAGCTCCAAGATATGTCACTGCAAATGGTTGCTTATAGTCTGCAAAAATCCCCTGTAAATGAATATTCACACAGCAATCAAAATACTATTCTCTCCTATTTGCTTCTATATCACTTATTGCCATTCTAGGGCAAACCCAACACCCATTTTCTTCCAAAATGGAATCTTCTTGAACCAATGATCATCAATTTGCAAATATGTAAAATGCACCCCATCCCTAAATAGTAAACCCTATTTCTATAAACAGCCCATCAAGAACTACAATTTGAACAATTGAAACAAAGCAATCAAAAAAACCACAAATCTGGGAAGTTTGAAAGAAGGGAGTTTCGACCTGGGTGACTTCTGCGGAGGTGACCCAGATGACAACAACGGCGGCAATAAGGAAGAGACCGGCCTTATACTTCCACCCCATCCCACCACCCACACACAAAAACAAAAAAATCAAGAAATCCCCAGATTGAAATCTTAGTTTCCGACCATGGATCTGGAACTTTTTTCAGCTCCGAGCCTCGGATCTTCGAGGGGTGTTCCGTTTTCTGCTCTCCCTTCAGGAAATTGGCACCATTTCTGGTGAAATTTGACCGGCTAAAGCAATCGCTTGATGTGGTGGAATGTGTGGAACCAACAATGGAAAATGGTAGGCGGATTCCAGAATTTCTGTTCGGTTCTTTTCTTTCTTTCTACTTTCGTCGCCGAGAAGGGAAGACTGTTTAGATTAGAGAGGGAAATTATAACCGACGGTGCCTCATTGCGCCCCCTGCTACCACATTTTCCTTCTTTTCTTCCATGTTTTAATAAATGGTTAAATATGTTTTTGATTTCCGTAAAATATGAAGTTTGTTTTTGGCAATGTAAATTTTGTTTGTTTAAATCATTTTTATATGATTTTTATTTCACAAATAGCCTTTAAACGTAATTAATGTTTTTAATTAATTGAGATTGCATATTTATGTCATACTCAAAATCTCTGTTTTACTTTTCTAATATCCTCCAAACAAATTTTCATTTTCTAAATTGTATCTTTATACTCCGTAATTAAATACTACACATTGATTTTTTATATTTATTGAGAATATAATACAATAAATGTTGAGAACTAGGAATGTAGTTCAATGAATACATAATTTAGGCTATGAGAATTACTCGGTATGAGATAATTATAAATGCAAGTCTAGAATGTTTAGTACGAAATAAATATATTACCTAAATAAATTAGAAATTTTAATCATGTTTAATTAATGATCACTTTCAAAATAAAAACATTTGTAAGGATGATTTAAATAAAAAATTAACAGGGACTAAAAACAAAAATTTCTTATTTTGTAGAGATTAAAAATATATTTATCCTTTGAAAAATATCACACCATTATTTCATAATTATTCTTAAATTATTAAATGATATGATTATTTCTAGAATTGTACTCTCTCCATGTCAAAAGCTAATTTCACTTATACTTTTCATCATTCCCATACAATACATTTAATGTCAATTAAAGTATTCATCTTACCCCTACTGATTATTAAATTACTCATCACATCGTATTGATTCCTCAATATTTTATCCACCACATTTAATGATAGAATTAGAGTCAATTACAAAATGTACTAACATTACATTTGTCAAAATTCAAAACGACAATTATTTTGTAAAACAGAAGGAGAATATGTTTATATCATCGCTCTAATATTTGCTAAACCATGGGTTCGACATGAAGCACCGATATAAACATATATTCCAAATATTAATTCTCAAGTATCAAGATATACAGATACAAATTCACAGAGTAATAGTGTCATTAGTTAAATTTAAGAGTAATTACGTAATAATCCGTATTATAAAATTATGAGTGATTATTTAAATTATTATTATTATTATTGTGTTATAGAAAATGTTATTATAAATTGAAATATTCTAAATATTTTTAAAGTATTGTAAATATTTTAAAAATAAACTTCTAAATATGTCAACCTCAGCTCAACATGCTAAGGTCATTAACAAGTATTTTCAACCCAACCTAAAATAATTACTCCGGGGTAGAACCCAAAATAGATCCCTATAATTAAAACCCGGACCGGGTAAATTCTACCCGCATACCGGATAAGTAAATTCGGATAATAACGGATCAAAAACTCGGCGGCGGAGCTCTTCAATCCCGATCGGCAACGTCAAGCCATCGGAAAATCTGCCATGGAAATGGCCCTCTCGAAGTGCCTCAGACCATTGTTACCCTTCCTTCGTTCGCAGAAACACATCCCATTGCACAGCCTCAAACTGTTCGCCACCGCCGGACGCGGCAGCGTTTTGCCTCCTCCCACCACAACCAGGGTTAGGATCCGGTGCTTCTTCAGTTCTTCACCGGAGCACGCGTTAAGCATCGATTGCATCAAAAAATACGGAGCTAAAGCTGGAGATCAGGCGTCGAGCCACCAATTGTGGCTGTACAATACAATGAGCAGAGAGAAGGAGATTTTCAAGCCCAAAGTTCCAGGAAAAGTCGGAATGTATGTTTGTGGTGTCACGGCCTATGACCTTAGCCACATTGGCCATGCCCGTGCTTACGTCTGCTTCGACATTCTCTACAGGTACCCTAAGCAACAGCTATCCGCATGTTAGTGGCTCTCTGTTAGGTTGTGCATTGTTAGTTGCTATACAATAATGAATATTTTCTGCCAATGTGGCCTCTGAAATATAGAAAACGGTAATTAAGTTTAAGCTATGTTTGGGAGAGGTAGATTAATGCTGCCATTTAGAGTTAGTAAATGTTTTGTTAGGTTTGGAAGGTAATGTTTTGTAATAAGTTACTCTGTATTTGGCTAGTTATGAGGTAAATGAAGGAAAATATTTATAAAGTATTGGTTGGACGTTTGGATGGGTGCGAAGTGATATACGTAGTGCTTTAGAGGGTATTTGGGATTGCGTTTAAAAACTACTTATGAGCTTTTGCTTCCTTAAAATAATGTTTGTCGTGTTTGCCAATCTGCTTCTGCTTATAGATTATGACTTTTGTAGCCTAAAATGGGCTCCAGAAGTACTTTTAAGCAATGTTTAAAATATCTGCTTTCTGCTTCTACTTAAAACTTATGCTTTCTCAACAATCTACCACACTCCCAAACACCCTCTTAATATCCCTTTATAATATACTATGACATACTCCCTCCATTCCATATTAACTGTCCATTATGACTTTCTTGGTACATTAAGAAATGAATGAATGCAGATATAAAGTATGTCTATATTCATTCATTTTTCAATGTACCAAGAAAGTCATAATGGACAGTTAATATGGAATGGAGGGAGTACTCTGTATGAGGCGCTATATATGCTATTCATTCAAATAGGAATGTATTTTAGGTAGTGTTTGAGAACTAGCATTTCATTTCAATTATTGCATTTCAATTCCACAATTTGAATATTTGAATTTCAAATGACAAGGGGAGGTACATGGATTTGCAATTGAGGCATTTTCCTCGAATCCGAATCCAAAATTTTAAAATTTCCAAACATGGATTTTGAGCCAAATCCGAATTTGAAATCCAAATTCAAGTTCCCAAACGTGCCTTTAATGAATTTGTGCCTACTGAAATTATTGAAACCGGGGAAGTTCTATAAAGAAAGCATAAGACTAATCTTTTACAAGTGACTGTTTTTAATTTCAAATTTGTGAAATCTAAAGTGTAATTTTGTTTAGGATACCTTGTAAACACACAGAAGCTTCGGAAAATAAAGCTTGGTATGTGTGAAAAGTAATAGAGTTTGTTGATTGAAGATACTAAATGCATCGAGGTTGCATCAAGAGATGTGTAGAAAACTTCGCTTTCTATTTCAAGCATGTGTCTTTGTATGGTTAAGTCTGTTTGTGTGCCCATCTATTTTACATTTATTAGCTCGAGAAGTTTGTCATGACACTTCGTTTGTGACTCAAACTAGTGGCTGAGTGCTGTTAATATTTTTGTTGTTTTTTACTGTTCTATTTATTGCAAAAAAAGGATCCATGGATTATTTTGAATAGGGCTATGCTATTTGTACACATCTCTTTTACACCACCTACTCCACCATGTTTACGCAGGTATGCATAAAGGAGATTTTTGTTTTATGTTTCATCCTCAACGTGTATGTGTGTGCATGTACATGTCTCTTGTATGTGAGTGTCTGTGTGAACAAAGATGTTAATGTAAAATTTTGCGTACATAAAAATACATTTTCTTGTGAATAACATACATAAGTATTAATTATCCCATTGGTTGTTGTTGAATATTAGGCAGATACCTTAAACATTTGGGATACGAAGTCAATTATGTACGCAATTTCACCGATGTTGATGACAAGGTGAGTGAGTGAGTGTGTATTATTGAGCTTATCTTAATTTTAGCAACCTATTTTTTGGTGCGAATGTGAAACTACTTTTTAATTCCAGTGATGACAAATGATGGAATATTGTAGTGTTAAGCTTTCAAATTTTGTAGATTATTGCAAGAGCAAATGAGTTGGGGGAGGATCCAATCGGTTTAAGCAAGCGTTACTGTGAAGAGTTTCTTCTTGACATGACACATCTTAATTGTCTTCCTCCTTCAGTGGAGCCACGCGTCTCTGATCACATGCCCAAAATAGTTGATATGATACAGCAGGTGATTTTGCATAAGCTTTTAGTGGCCCTTTTCTTCATAAGCAATAATGGAACTCCCTATTTATTTATAGCCTAAACACGTTATATTTTCCCTAGTTTAATATAATTATCCTCAGAGATGGTGTGTACCTTAAAGTTTATATCTGCACCCATTGTTTCAGAATCTTTTGCATGTCTTTTTTATAAAACAGGAATATTAGAAGCAAGATAGTGTGGTATTATGAACTAGAAATATTTGGTCATGAGAAATAAATAGATGAACACATTCAGCACTGAATAGTTCATTTTTGCACAACATACTATGTTGTTGTAATTTCATGTTCTGTTAATGAAAACAGAAATGCACTCCCTCCGTCCATTTTCTTTTGCTTGGTATTGACCTGGCACAAAGTTTTATATAAGAGTTGAGAAAGTAATTTTTTTGGTGTTTTACATTTTGGCCTTTAAATGAATGGTCTTAAATTAGCAGTGTCACATCAATGCTTTAAGTGGAAGAGTGGTGGTGGAAAGTAATTTTCTATTTTTGGAAAGTTTCAAATATCTTTGGACATCCCGAAAAAGAAATAAGAGCAAAAGTTTCTGGATGGAAAGAGTATACTATATTTTCAACGAGCAATATATTTGGTTATAAACAGTGAGTATAGCAACACGTTTACTGCGCGATGCCGAGATATGTCAAACTATATTGCTCTTTTCTTCTTAACTAAAAATTTTAAAGGCTAGGGACCATTTCATTTTTTTCTTCGATCTTTTACAAAAATCTGGCTCATTTTTTTCTGTGAACTTGTGGTATATAGATCCATTCTTCATGACCCTAATCGTTGTGTCCATGTTTCCTTTAGTGTGGTATAATCTACTAACTTGATGTTTACGCGTTGATGTCGCTTATATGCTTCCTTGCCAGATTCTTGATAATGGATGTGCTTACAGAATCAATGGTGATGTCTACTTTTCTGTCGATAAATTTCCAGAATATGGAAAATTATCCGGAAGAAAATTGGAAGATAACAGACCAGGTGAGCGAGTGGCAGTGGATACGAGGAAGAAAAATCCTGCAGATTTTGCTTTGTGGAAAGTAAGACAGCTAACTCCCTTTAACCCCATTTCGGTTGACATTTGCACAAGCCACCTTTAATTCATATGTTAAATACCTCTAAAGCCAAGTGGCAAGCACTTTTAGTCAATCACTCCAAACAATCTTGGGAATAAGGTTTAGGGGTATAACTTGTAAAGTCTTTTACCTTAACTGAGTTGACTTTAAAAAGTCGTACTTTATTCTAACATGACTCTTTTTTTTTGGGGGGGGGGGGCATTCAGAATCTGCTCTTACTAAGATGGACTATAAAGCAATCAAAACATGCCCAATTTTTGAGAAGGACACTACAAACAGAAGCAAGTTATTCTATCTAAAGCTAAAACCACAGTGTTTAGCCCTTTCATTATTTGTTTAGTTTCTTTTTTGTGATTTATTTTGGATCTTTTTTTGTTGGACGGGTCTTTGTAAAATTTGGGGTATATGGTACACATTTTCTCTGTGATGGACTCACTTTGGTCATCACTAATCCAGTCTGCAAAGGAGGGAGAGCCTTTTTGGGAGAGTCCGTGGGGTCCAGGAAGACCTGGATGGCATATTGAATGCAGTGCCATGAGTGCTACATATTTAGGGTATTCTTTTGACATACATGGCGGCGGGATTGATCTTATATTTCCCCACCATGAAAATGAAATTGCCCAGAGTTGTGCCGCATGCAACAAAAGCAATATTGGTTATTGGATACACAATGGATTTGTCAACATTGATTCAGAGAAAATGTCAAAATCACTTGGAAACTTTGTCACAATTCGGCAGGTATATGAACTTAAGCATTCTGATTTTATTTTTTGCATGACACTATATTTGTTTTAATCTTATCTAATTTTTTCTTGTCATCTTATATTCTCTCAGGTTATTGATACCTATCATCCACTTACATTAAGGCTTTTCTTAATGGGGACACATTACAGATCTCCAATCAATTACACAATTGCACAGCTTGAGAGTGCATCTGATCGTGTTTTCTACATCTATCAGGTAGTTAAAGACCTATCCTTATTCTTCATGGTAATTGATAATCAACAACAACAACAGACCTAGTAAATTCTCACAGAGTGGGATCTGGAGAGAGTGTGCAGACCTTACCTCTACTCAGAAAGGGGAGGGACTTTTTCCAAGAGACCCTCAGCTTAAAACACATGATCGCAATGACAAAGGAAAGTAGCACGAGTAAAGTAAGGCCACAAATTAAAACGACCTCACATACAGAGATTATAAATTAAGGCACCAAAGCACACAAACAGAAACTACAAACTAAGGTCCAAGGGTCTATCCTACCACCCTAATCCTAGACCTCCAGACACCCCTATATGAGGCCATATCCTCAGTGAGATCATGAGGTCATAACTCGTAAGTCATGTCCAACTCTTCTTAGGTCTACCTCTACCCCTCCTAGTTCCCCCTACTACAAGCCTCTCTCACCTCCTCACTAAGGGCATGTTTATTGTTCTTGGGTCTATCCTTTTGCCTTTGCTTATGAATATTTTAAGGGGGAAATAAAATACGGAGTAATATTTTTGGCTGTTTGGGCAAGGGGAGGAGTCAAAGAAGAGAGAACAAAACGGTTGGAGGATACTAACAAATCTCCCTCCATGGGTGGTAAAATTTTGGAAGAAAGGGGGATGAAAAAACTAGTGGGGCCATATTAGATGACACGACTTATCTACCCTTTTGTTTTAGTGCTGCATATGTTATTAGTGAAAAAACTCGTTTTTGTTTCTTCTTCTATCAATCCAAACTCATTCTACCCATTTTCTACTCTCTTTCTCTCCTAGGACTTTATTGTACTTTTTTCTTTCCTGTTATCCTTATCCAAAAAAGCATCAATTTGTCATCTTTCAACTTTTTCCCTATATATTTTCTGTATTAGTTACTAGAAACACCCCTTAATTTCGTGTTAGATCATTTGAGTTTTTCTTTGTCCCAATCTTGTCACTGTATACAGAAACACCCCATACAGACTTGAGGATCTCTGCACAATCTTGATGTCTTTGTTACAGTACTAATTTTAAATTTTACAGTTAGAATATTTATTTGCAGCAATTAGCTTTGTTTTTGCCTTTTTTGCAACTAATTTTTTACAGTAACAAGCATAGATATTGATTCATGAACTGATTTTTGGTGCAGACGTTATATGATTGTGAAATTGCTCTCGCCCAGCATGGATCAAGTTTGAAGGGTTCCGTCCCTTCAATAACTGCTGGGTGCATTGATAAGTTCTGTGATGAGTTCCTGACTTCAATATCTGATGATCTTCATACCCCTGTTGCTTTGGCTGCAATGTCAGACCCATTGAAGATGATAAATGATCTAGTGCACACTTGTGAGGTATTCAAGTATTAAATGGATTCACAATCTATGTTAAATACGGAGTACTATTTTTTGAAAGATAATTCAACAGAATAACCCCATCAGCAATTTTATGCACAAATTTCAGCTGATTGAGCCAATTTTTCCAAAATTCCCCTTAACGGGATGTTAATGTCATTTGATCTTGCTATTTTGGCCATTCATTCTTACCTCTTTTAGCTTATTCCATTGTGTAGTTCAAGTGAAGTCAATCCTTTGCAATTATATATTCTTGACAATGAAAGTAGTTGTTTGCTGCAGGGTAAGAAGCAAGAACTGCGAATAGAGTCTCTTGTTGCTTTAGAGAAGGTGATAAGGACTGCTCTGACAATTTTGGGGCTCATGCCAAGTTGTTACTATGAGGTACACCAATTATTTGTCTAGATCCCTTTGGGTTTAGCTGGGTTATCGGTATTAGTATGGGTATGGGAATCCCAAACACAAACCACTTGTTTGGTTATGTAAATAGATTCCTCAACCCCATTCTCCCATACTCCTTCCCTTACTAGTATGAAGTTGAATCCCTTATTGACCTCGCCTCCATCAATCTGGCCAGTGACTTCATCAACATCTCTCCTAATGTGATTCTAGCCTTTTCCAGAATACGAACCAAACACCTGATATCATCTATCATACCTAGACCTGGAAAAAAATGATCCGACCTGTTTTTGACCCGAAACCCGACCTGAAAACACTGGGTTTTGAACAAAGGTTTTGATGACAGAACCCGAAGTTGACCAAACCCGAAATGACCCGCTAAAAATGCGTCAAACCCAACCGAACCCAAACCCGACCTGACCGACCTGCTAAAGTAAGAATTTTTCAAAATCATACACTTTACTACTCGTTTTTAGTGTACAAATTTATATTTAGAGACAAAATTTTAATGATATTGCATAATTATCTTACTTTTTTCCAAAACTTAAGCATTTTTAAATTTCTTATATTGATTTATATATCTAAAAATTACTTCAGAGTTTAAAATAAAATAATTTTATAGATTATTTAATACAATTTTTTTTATATTTTAATTTTATTTAATAGAAAATGTAAGTGTTAATGTGAATTTAAAAATTTTAAAAATCAAAGTCATAACCCGTTGGGTCGACCCGAACCCGACGATACTGGGTCATGAACATACAGTTCTCAACCCGAACCCGAAATAACCTGAACTTGAAGTGACCGAACCCGAACCCGACCTGACCGACCGATTTGCCAGCTCTAATTATTCATACCTAACCCCATACCTTTTAAACCCCATTCTGTATTCCAAATGTATACTAGAAAGTCGAAAGTGCACCAAACAAGTTGGTGTATTATGCATGTGTGAGAAGTTCAAGACTTTAGCATCGCATCTTTTATGTTCTGTAATTTATACGAAGTAGAATGAGTTATAGTTCTTAAAATGCTGCTTTTAATGATATATGATTGCTTTTTACGTTCAAACAATCTCTAGGTTTTTATGCTGCATTTTTACTAAGAAAAAACGTATACGTGTGTGAAAACCTCAAACGATTGTTACTTGCATGTACATGGGTTTTATAGGTTCTGCAGCAGCTGCGAGATAAAGCACTGTCGCGTGCGAATATGACCGAAGATGAAGTTCTGCATAAAATAAAAGAGAGGACGTCTGCGAGGAAGAAGAAAGAGTATGAAAGATCTGATGCAATTCGAAAAGAATTGGCAGCTGTTGGCATTGCTTTGATGGATAGCCCAGAAGGCACAACTTGGAGACCAGCTATCCCTCTGGCTTTTCTGGATTCTCTATAGATCTCTCTCTCTCTCTCTCTCTCTAAGTTTATAGGAAAGAAAATGAACTGTTTGCAATTTATGTATGCAAAAACATTGATACAAGATAGACCTTTAAAGTTTATTTATTTGATTCTAAGGATTATTTTTGCCTTATTTTTAAGTAGAATTTGAAGTCTCGAATCTTTTTTAATACTGTAATTAAAACTTTGTTCTTTTCGACTTAGGGGCTGTTTGTTTCAGCCTCTTAATGGTTCAGATGTCTGAATGGTTCAGCACTTAATGGTTCAGACTGTTTGTTTCAGCTTCTTAATGGTCCAGATGTCTGAATGGTTAAGAGATTTGCCTCTGAATGGTTAAGTATTATACAGAGTCTGAATGGTTAAGACCTCTTATCTGAATTGATCAGACATTTACCTCTGAATAGTTAAGCAATATACTAGCTCTTAATGGTTCAGACCTCTTACTGGTTCAGCACTTAATGGTTCAGACCTCTTACTGGTTCAGCACTTAATGGTTCAGACTGTTTGTTTCAGCTTCTTAATGGTCCAGATGTCTGAATGGTTAAGAGATTTGCCTCTGAATGGTTAAGTATTATACAGAGTCTGAATGGTTAAGACCTCTTATCTGAATTGATCAGACATTTACCTCTGAATAGTTAAGCAATATACTAGCTCTTAATGGTTCAGACCTCTTACTGGTTCAGCACTTAATGGTTCAGACCTCTTACTGGTTCAGCACTTATCTATTCAGAAGTTACTAAACAGCCCCTTATTCTTTTTATTTAAAATGAAGAGTGAGACCTTCAAATTTTATACTCAATCGAACTAAAAATTCATTCATTGCACCATATGTGAGTACAATAGTACATAAAGTCATAAACAAATAAAAACAAAGGAATGATGAACTGCTTCGTTTTTTTTTAAATTAGCCCCCAACTACCCTCAACTGTCACATGTTCTTGTAGTAACAACTACTGTGACTTCTCCAATTATTTTTGTTTTAGATTTTTGGAATTCATTCATATCATTCCAACTTTGTTTCGTTATAAAATGAGCCAAGATATAATCAAATCTTGCCAAAAAAGATGGAAAGAAATGACAAATCAATTTACCTAATGTACATATCTTTATGCGGGTCAATTCTACCCCAATTTTCATATAAATCTATTTAAAAAATTAATTCAGTCAAACATCGTAAACAACATGCAACTTGAAATGAGACGAAGGGAGTAACATTATTTGGTGTTAACTTTGATATCGTTTTGAAATAATATGACTGGACGCATCTTTTTTCACATTTAAATGGAGTACTTCATAAATATTACCTTCATCTCAGTATATTTGTCTAGTTGATTTTTTTGAATCAAATTAAATAAATTTTAAGCTCTAATTACTCTCAGTTTGTATTACATAGGGCCTATTTTGGAATAACATTAGAGATTAGCGTTAACATTTTGAAAATGTTATCTACCGACAGCATTTAGCACTAGCACTTTCTAAGTAATATGCACCATTAAAGCTAATCTCTAACACTATTCCTAAACAGCTCCATCTTAAATTCTTAATATAATAAATACAATTTTAAAAGTTCTTAATACAATAAATCTAATAAAGTCATTTTTATGTTGAAAAACATTCTAGTTTTTATTTAAGTGAAGCTCAAAGTTTGTCAAATTTGATTTGAAAAAATCAAACTGAACAAATAGACAAGGAGTAATACGGAGTACTACATATTACTCCATAATTAATTATGAAGAATATAATTTTCTCAATAATAAATTACCAGTCCATTAGCCATTTCCTTCAACTAAAGAACCATTTTCAACAGGGGTACAAGACAGCAAACATGAATCCCTTTACTAGAAGAACTACTATAACAATTTCATTATGTTACTCAGTGACAAAGCTCCTCATTGTCACCCAAATAGAAATAAGAAGAAGAAGAAGAAGAAAAAGAAGAAAGGAATGAAACATAAACACAAGTTAACTGAGCTGCCCAAACTATTACCACATTACACTACCAATTCCACTCACCATTTAAGATCCAGCAAAACATGACCTTATTTTCTCTTTTTAGCTGGTGGCTGATCCTCTTTTTCTTCCTCTTCATCCTCCTCTTCTTCATCATCATCTTCATCATCATCATCATCTTCTTCATCATCTTCCTCTTCATCTTCATCTTCATCATTGTTGTCTTCATCATTATCATCCTCATCATCATCATTGTCTTCATTATCATCACCACTTCCAGCTTCAACATCATCTTGTGCATCATCTTCATCATCATCATCACCATCATCCACCTCATCTTCCTCATCGTCACCATCATCATCTCCAACACCATCTCCATTGTCCTTGGAATCCTCTTTTTCAATGGCACATTCCTTCCCATTGTAAACCTCAGTTACCGACACCCTGTTATCCACTAAAATATATAATCAATGCTGCAAATAAAAAAGTGCATTGGGAAAAAAATGAAGAGAACACAACAATACGAACCTTTGCGAATTCTCGGGCTCTCTGGGAAGTATATGAGACGCATATCCAATGACTCCAATCTGCAATGGGTGACAAAATAAAAACCATTAAACTGAAAGAATTTACACTTGTATGGTTTGAGTGAATTAAACACAAAAAAAAATAGTGTTTGACTTCAGAGACTAAGAAAAAGTGCTAAAAAAGATAATGATCCACATATTTCATGGAGGAAAAAAGAGATATTTTGACACAAAGAAAATAAAACAATTTTCCGGAAGCAAAGGCTATAGTGTTTCTCTAAAAATCATCATAGTATATAAGTTCATCTCACTACTTCAGCCATCAAAGCAAAACACCAAATTTCCATTTTTTGACAAATCCATCAAAGAATTAGTGTATATTACAAATTCAACAAACAGAAAACATAAATCTATTTGTATGTATTTTTGTTAAATTTCAAAAAAAAATAAAATAAATTATGCAAGCATTTTGTAGCTTCAAATATGAAACTGTAATTATTCATTTTTTTTGCCAGTGGAACTTAGACTTCATCTATCAAAGCCAAAACAACAAATTTTCCAATCTTTCTGACAAATCTATCAAAAGAATAAGCGCATATTACCAATTTCAACAAACAGAAAACAGAAAAAATAAAACAATTAATATTCCAGACCCACAAATCATCTCAATTTCCAGAAAGCAGAGAAAGGAGAATTACAGCATGAATTACACAGAGAATGCGATAAAACTTACCAAAAAGAGGACGAAAGAGAGAGACTCCACAGAAAGCGCAGCGGTTTGAGCGGCAATAACCTCCATTGCAGTGCTCAGAAAAAGCTTCTCGGAAGCTCCGGCATGGCAGCCCCTGACTCTGCCCACCGCTTCCATTGCCGAAGAATGTTAGAGCGAAAACCTAAAAGGAAAACAGGCGCGGAGCTATATGGGTGGAATGGGGACAAAAGGAGTGTGTGTATATATATATAGAGCCGAGAGAGATTTTGCGATGCGAAAAACCCTAATTGGAGTTTCCCATTTGGGGGGTTTATCTGGGGTAGCCGCAGTGGGAATTTGCAAATACTCGGAACTTGAAGGTTATGGAATTAATTTTCAGATCAAATAACAAAAGACGATGGACTAAAGTGAAATACTAGGTATTTTCTAGAAATCAAATCTCTTCAACTTATTGGATCTTTTTAAAAATAGCGTTATAGCTTATTATTAGCGTTTTGATAAAGCTATCTACGGACAATGTTTAGTGTTAGTATTTTCAAAGTTAATATGCACCGTTAAACTTTTATCTAAAACGTCAACACTAAGCAAAAACAATATTCCCAACAGGGCCATCATCTATTCTCAGATCACATCAAATAAAAAAATCAATAAACTACAATCAAGTCAGACTAAATAAAAAAATTGGAGTGTTTTTAGAGTAAAACTAATTACTCCGTATTTTAGAGTGCCATCATCTTTTTGTGCCATCATCTATTCTTTCACTCTAAAAACACTTAGTTTCTTCAAAGTGTTTTTAGAGTGAAACTAATTATTTTTTCAATAACCAGTAATTTGGTAATAAATAAAAAATAAATTATTCTACACAATAGAGCTAATTTATTAACTTCATAACTAACTACATTTTTTTGTAAGTTGCATTTACTGTATTTTTCTTGAGCTGCACTTCGAACTATTTTTTGATAATATATTATTATTATTTCTTTAAAAAATGGCACTGCAAAAATTATGAATATCTTTCGATAGTTTTATATAAATATTTTTTGTGAAACAATATTACAATAGTTGTGAAAATAACACCACAATTTTTTTCTGAAATGGAACTTTTATTTTTATAACTCACTACATTTTGTGATGTATTGCAATTTTTTCATGAACACTCCGAAATATTTATTGACAATCTTATATTGCCAATATAATTTTCTTTCTAAAATGGAACTACCCAATTTGTGATTTTTTTTTGTAATTCAATACAAATTTTTCCCCAATAAATGTAATTCAAAAATTGTGAAAATGACACAATATTTTTTTCTCCTAAATGATGCTAATAAATTTTATAAATCACTACAATTTTTTTGTATTGCAATTTCTTTCATGATCGATACTCTGAATTATTTTTGATAATTCAATATTATATTTTCCCAAAACTGAATACAAAATTTGTTAATCGTTAGACAAATCTCTAACAAGAGAATACTGTTATATTTTAAAAATATTAGTTTTAAAATTAAAATTAAAAAAGTAAAAAGTAAATTTGCCTAAAATAATTTCATCTTTCATTTATCTGCGAAAAACGGGCATTTTCTAAAACTTTTGTTAAGTGACAGTTAGTTTTTTAACGACGACCCAAAACTCACACACATGCAAAAAGGTGAGATTATTTGCAATGACAGTAAAAAGTGAGTTTATATTTTAAAGAGCGCAAAAAAGGTGAGATTATTTGAAATAATTTTTCCTAAAAAATTATTTCATTCATATCATAACCAATCAGATCATATGAAGAAAACAAATCTTAAATGAGATTTTGTTTAGGCTGTTGCATTTGACAAACAAGCGTTGGTAGATAGGGAGGATATGATTTTCAAGCCACTTCGATTTGTTAAACACTTTTGAAATATAGGAGCATTGACATTTTCTTTCAAAAAGGGTAATACTCCGTATTTAGTTTTCCCATTTGTATAGATGGAGAAAAAAATTTATATAAATATCTATATGAAGGTCAGTTTCTCCATTTTAATAAATATAATAATAGATACAATTATATAATGAATGAAAATGGGGAAACAGACCTTCATAAAGAATATCAAATAAATATTCCTCTTTAAGGTTCTGGACTTGTCATTCAGTCAATTTAACGGCAAAGTACTCGTATTTATTAAGATCAAAGCAATATTGTCACAAAGTCAGTGTGGGATATCTTAAGCAACATAGAATATTACAGAGTAAATTTTCTAAATGATTCCTAATTACACGTGATTTTTTTATATTTACCCCCCGATTCTTATATATTTCATAAATGGTTCTGGACTTTTGAAAATCATTCCATAAATAATCATTTAGGCTAAATATGTCAAAGTATTCTTTCCACTAATAGTTCCTGAATGACCCGATTATAAGATTGAGATCATTTATTGAATATCTAAGAATTAGGGTGTAAATATGAAAAGAAATAGAAAACATTTATAGAATTTACTCATATATCATCACACCCTTGTCTTACTTAACCATACTATACTATATTGTGGCTTTTTCAAAGATGAAAAAACAAAATCTGAGTCACTCTGAGCTACTTTTAGATAGAATTTAGATTATATAGTTAAAATAATCACTTTTTCTAAAAACGTAAGCAATCCTAAACAACCTCATAGACTGCACGGATCGATCAGAATTTTTAAGCCACTTCAATTTGTTACTCTTGAAACTGCAACATACAGTTGCGAAACTGTTTGTAATTGACCCTAGTTATATTATGAAAAGTTTTTTTCTTATTCTAATGTTCTTTTCAGATTTTTTTAAAGTACAATGCGTATGGGGCAATTTTTCGCTTATTCTATTCCTTGTAGCGGTTAATTATTTTCAACATTTAGTTACCGTTTTATGCACACGTTACATCTTAATGAATAAATATACATTACGTTTTTTGTGTTACTTACCATTTCAATATTTTAATTGATTACACACCTTTTTAGTTTTATTAACCATTTCAAATATTTATTTTATTACACACGTAATAAAATAAGGAAATTATTTTGTTTATTTCATAGATACTTACAGTGTATTTATTATTTATTCTTACCAAAACCATGTATAAATTAAAGTAATTATTTTATTTAAAATACGTAGGAAGTTAAAATGAAACATGGTACCGTGTTATTTAATTTTTTTATAACATGTATCATAAATTTAATATAGCTTTATTTACATTTTTATATACATGTTACATCTTAATCTATAAATATATATTAATTACATTTTTTTGTATTACTTACTATTTTACACACCTTTTTGGTGTTACTTATTATTTCTCTATTTTTTTAATCTTAATTTATAAATATAAATTACATTTTTGGTGTTTTTTGGTGTTACTTACCATTTTAATATTTTAATTTATTACACGCCTTTTTGGTTTTACTTATCATTTCAAAATTTTATTTTACTACACACGTAATAAAATAAGGAAGTCATTTTATTTATTTCATAGGTACTTACAGTGTATTTATTATTCATTCTTACCAAAACTGTGTGTAAGGAAATTATTTTATTTAAAATCATTTTATTTAAAACGCGTATGAAGTTAAAATGAAGCACTGTACTGTGTTAATTAATTTTTTATAACACTGTATCATAAATTTAATATACCTTTAATTACATTTTTATACACACGTTACATCTTAATTTGCAAATACTAATTACGTTTTGTGTTACTTACCATTACAATATTTTATTTTATTACACATTTTTTGGTGTTACTTACCATTTCTGTGTTTTTAATTACCAGTACATCTTAATTTATAAATATAAATTACGTTTTTGGTGTTTTAGATCATTTCAACATTGTAATTTATTACACACCTTTTTGGTGTTATTTACTATTTCAACATTTTATTTTATTACACACGTTACATTTTAATCAGTTTCACATGTGAGTGAAGAACATTTTAATGGAAAGTTTAGCAATTACCATTTGTGAGTGAAGACCATTTAGGTGGGAAAACGAAATAAGGTTTGCCCTCTTTTTAAAGATGTGTCTAGTCCCTATAAAATATGCGAGTTTTATTTTTAGTTCATGTAATTTTTTTTTGTTAAAGTGGTCTTTAAAAAAATATTTTGAAAATGATCCTTAATCACAATTTTAAATTTGTTGAGATATCACATTTATTTCATACTCAGCTTCTTAGTTTTGCATTTCTAATTACATCAGACAAAATTTTCATACCTTAATTATATCCTTTTTCAAATTAAATGTCCAATTTCAAATTTTTATTAGGTTATATTCTTAATAAATTTGGGAACGGGAGATGTAATAATATGAATAAGTGGACAATTTAGAGTTTGGAAATTGTGTTATACTCTGTAATTAATTAGAAATGCAAGCTTAAAATATTGAGTATAAAATAAATAAGTTTTCTGATCTAATAAGAAGTGCTAATTACGTTTAAGGACCATTTTCAAAATAATTTTTTTATAAGGATGACATTAACAAATAAATATTTTACATGGATTAAAAGCAAAACACACATATTTATAAGGCCAAAAAATATATTTAACCCAAAAATTTGTTTAAGCTTTGTTTTTTACTCAAAGCTATTTAAGCTTTGTTTAATAATTTTAATGATAAAGATTAATTTTAAAATTGAAAAAATTAGGAAATGTGGTATGATAGTATATTCAAAATGCTAAAATTAATTGTTGAAACTAATGCCAAATACAGCCTTAATGCTTGCATTTAGGTTTAACAAATTTAAAATCAATCTACAAAATTAAAAAGTTATCAAAAAATGTTAACACTTATTTAAAAATTTATTTTCGAACAAGGTCTTAGTATATACAATAAGCTTTTACATTTTGAAATTAAGTTCTCTGTATTTTGAGATATTTTCGCGATCTTTTTTATGAAAAAATTATGTCGCCCATGTTATGTTTTTTAACTTTTTTAAGGGAGTCGTTTATAAATTTTAATTACACAAATTTGACACATTTCTATTCTAGAGTTGGAGCAAAATCTATGTACCCATACCCTCATTTTGAGATTTTAATTTAATTCAATAATTACTTCTCTCAAAAAAATTGATAGAAAATATGAAATTTTCTTATTGAAAACAATTGCATTCTACATATACAGAATTTAAAAAAGGATGTTGCTAAATTCACCTAAATTATAGCTAAACTCACTCCATTTATGTTAAATGGTCAAAACCGACTTTAAAAATTGGCTAAGATCTAATATTCTTCTTTGTGTTGTTAAGGGCAAAGTTGTCCATTTAAGCATAAATAGAGTGAACTGAGTCATAAAAGGAGTGGATTTAGCAACACCCTTTAAATAATTGTGTTTGCTTAGTATACGACATTAATAACATTTGTATAAAATAATGTTTTTTATTTTTTATCTTGAATTCCATTTTTATCTTGTTTTTTTCATTGATTATAAAAGCTCATTATAATCTCCAACTCAAGC